GTAAAGTCCTGCAAAAACAACAGTTTACCTCATATTTTATGAAAAGAAGAGTGTCATCAATGTCTAACACCTATAGACATGAAATCATACCTCTTCAAAAAGTATTACTAAAATAACTCAACATCTCTCCCTTTCTTATAACTTATCCCTACACCATGTGGTTTAATATTCTCCTTACTCTTTTTTATACTTTTTCTTTGGTACTGACAGGGAGAATTTGTTTAAACCATCAGAACTTCTGAGGTTGGCAATACCTAATTTCCCTTTGTTCTTGTTATTATTATTATTATTATTATTATTATTATTATATTAAGCAGTATTACTGCAAGGAGAAATTAGATGCTGGTCACTCTTAAGATTTCAAGGGCTCAAGGAACAGTCAAATTGCAAAAGACCAAAATGCACTAATCACAGCCCTTGAAAACCAACCAGTTGGAGCAGACTATTCTGCTTTGCAAAAAGACCCATGGTGAGTCAACCTTGCCTCCCAAAAAAGCTAGTGTAATACATTCAACAAGTAACAAGTTACACAGCATGTGACTTGATAATAAGACAATGATCATTCTTTTACCTTGTGCAACTTTGAGGTCCATCATCCCAGCTTGAGTGGCACCTTTATCAATTATGGAATCAATTGCTTGGTGTTCAGCATTTGAACACATCTGCACAGAAATGACAGTGTTTTACAGTTTTAAAAAGAAATCACTTTTGAGTATCATTCTGAAATCTGAAAACTGAATACCATTGGTTACAATAAGTAATCCACTTGCTATGTTAACAGAGATATTGAAGAAATAAACCTTCTACATAATTTTGAAAAACTCACTGAGGCTTGGCCAAATATTCAGATATTTTTATTCAGGCCTCAAAAAGCTATTTAGAGCTTTTCTGCTGCTTTTAAAGAAACTACATTTTTAAATTTAACATCATACAAAAATCACAAACTTATAGCAATTCTCCAAAAGACCAATCTTCCCTAATGTACAATTATATTGAAAGCTCCTTTTCCTTCTTACCCTGATGTCATCTTCTGTCACATAACCAATCTGCACAATCCACCAGGGTTCCAGAACCTTTAACACAGCAGGTTTAGTTGGCAGAAGATCCCGCACAGGCTTCTTTCTAAAGAATTTCTGAAAAAGATTTAATGCAAGGACTAAGTAAGGTATAGTGTGACCTAGCCTGTGAATTTTATTTCTGTGTTGCTATTATAAATCTCAGATTAAGACTTTAATTTGAGCATCATATGGATAAAAAGATTTATGTTGAAATGGTTTTATTTCTGTGTTGTTATATATAAATTTTGCAACATAGTACACTTTCTCTCATCAGACAGCTCTGTAAGAAGGACACCTTCCTGAAATACACAGTTCCTGTTAGCTCTTGCAGAATTATTTCTTATGTGATTCTTAAATAATAGAGCTGTTCTTCATACTAAGATATCCTTAGAGAAGACTCTTCCACTCACTTCTAGAAATGTCTTCAATAACAGAAAGCCAACAATAAAACATTGGTTATTGTTCACATGTGATCAGTTTCAAGGTTACTTTTGCATAATCTAAGTGGCACCTACTCATACCTTAGATGACCGGCACTGATTCATCAACTCAATATATTGATTTCTACCAATTGCCAACAGCCGTAAACCTGAAAAAAAAAAACAGAAAGGAACCTCACAATTCTCAAAACCAGTAGAAAGTGAAATTCATTTTTACTCAGTAATTCATATTGTTGGTCCCATGTCCATTTTTGACTTGGCAAGGTCAGTTAGGGGGGCAGTTAAAAGAAGTTTGGCTAAGGGAGGGAGGGGGAGGGGGAGGGGGGTGCTTTGAAAGCTTTAAAAATTCCTGACCTGGCTTAAGATGAAATATATTCATTTTTCAACCCTGTTTAGATGAAAATTTGGTATAGGTTGTAGCATAATAGCCTTATCCTGCATATCCGGCATAACATATTCAGACAGAATGTTCAGAAAAATTATATTTGAAAAAATTGCTAATATCAGAGATGTTGACTGGGGTTTTCTAAAGCTCATAGCATAAACTGAAAATGATTTCATATCTGAATGTCTTTAAACTTACAATCTGCTGCAGTGAAGTTTGGTAATGAGTCATAGCTCCTTTCATTTGACATGATGTTTTCCATGATGCTACAGTAGTATGAAAATGGAGTGATCCTCAAACCTTTTACTATCACATCTGACAGGTGGTAAGGGAACAGCTATAAAATAAACAGCAAGCCATGTATGAATCATGAGTGAAAAGACAAGAAGAATATGAAGACAGGGACAAGTTAGAGAAACTTGAATGACACATACCACAAGTTGATTGTGTACAAAAGTTATTAGTAGCCTGGATTAGCTCCAACTATCCTTCAAAAAACTTGGCCCTGATGTTTATTATCTTATTGTGTTTCCTATATCAAACCATCCTCTGATGGTTTCTTGCCTCATAGAGAATATTGCAAGTAAACCAGACACCAACAAAAATATTTAACACATCTCTGAATTAAAATTCACCAAGGGCTGAGTTTGTCCCCCAGTTTTGCTTTTATTTTTGTCTAGAGCTTTTTACTTTTCTATTCCAACCAACCAAAAGCCAATCACAAGTGCCTGGCTGAGGGGCATCTAGGCCTAACATAAGACTCCACTTATAAAGAATAGTTGATACATTAAAACAGCTACAACCTAACAAACACCAAGAAGACGCTAGTTTATGACCCCTCTACTTCTATAAATGCATAGCCATGGAAGGGTAAGAAAGGCTGTAGTGTTTTTATTAACAGTTTATATGGAGGTTAAAAAGCATGGGTCTCAATAAATGCCAGTTATCAGTGGTCTACTGCCACCTCCAAGACCTCTCACTGCTGTCTGTTTAGCCTACTAGAAGACTCTAGTGTTTGGGTTTCACCTTACAGCACAGCCACCTATTACATTCATTGGTAGCCATTTATGGAAAAATTTAAGGAAACCCCTGTTAAAAACTTAATTTTGTCAAGAATGCTATGGATGGATCTGTTGTATCTAGGAGGGTTTATAAAGAGAGTATCATCTGTAGTCCGATAGCATCCTTACCATGAGGTGTTGTTTACTGTATTGCAGTAAATCTTCATAATACTTTCTCTCATCCCTTCTGACTTGTCGTACTGAGAACAAAACAGTGTAATTATTCAAAATATTGTATCATTACTCTGAACAAGTAAAAACAATATATTGTAAAGTCAAACAAGTGACACAACAGCAAATGTTAATTACCAATTGAAGCCAATCTCATCAAAATCCAAATCACAAGCAGATTTCATCTTTCCTTGACATAATCTATATGTTAGGTGATTTTCTGTGTCAATAGTGGCAATTTTGTACTCCAATAATTATGAATTCATTTGTTACAATCAGTGAGAATCTTTAACACTGCCAAGGCCATGCAAACCCGGAGATTTTCACTGATCTCAACAACCAGCATTAAAACTCATTTAGTGATTTTTGGATAAAATTTCCCATGTAAGTGCAAGCTGTTACCCCTCTTGATACTGTTCACAATAATCAACATAAACATTTCTTACCTGAGCTGCTTTTAAGTTCAAATGACAGAAGCACTCAAGTTTTATGGAGGGAAAGAAAGTCCCCCTCTCAATAAAAAAAAAAAAATGCCCTCTTTGTTACATGATTGTGTGCAAGGTTCTCACCCTTCTTGCACTTCTCTCAATAATAGAAACATTTCAGGGAATACTAGGGATAGGTGCATCCTGGCTAAAAGCATCTTTCATAAAGGAAAAAAATATGTAATCAAAACATGCATGCAAGTAAGCTTTCTTTCTTAGCCCTGTTTCTGAGAGAAAGTTTGTGCAATATTTACACCTGTGAAAGAGGCTAGGAAAGCTAAACATGATATTTAACAGCTGGTGTTAAAGTAACAGCCATGATTTGAGGCTGTTGAAGGTGATCTCCAAGGAATAGCTAATAGAAAGAAACTTGGTGAGATTGGAGATGAACATTATTCATTTGTCTAACGATGGAGTTACTTGGATGTTGATCGCAACGTGACTCCATCGTGAGACAAACGAATAAAGTTCATCTCCTATCCTACACCACAATGAACAATATTTAATCACGTTGGTGAGGATTAATGATATCCCTTCATCTTTTCAAGAATATTTTACATTTTTGTTTGTTTACAAAGCCAAATTCAAACCCACATGAATACTTAGGAATATTGCCGAATTCAGTGTTAATAACGAATTATCTGTTAACCAGATTATTCACGCCTTGAATAATTAACGATTTATAACCTACATTAACATAACATCTGAATGATGACTGGGTCTTCACGTGCGTGTTCATAATCCTAAAGATATCCAATAACTTGTAATATTTCCGCATAATTTTTATTCAACTCAGTGAATAAAGTTACCAATTCTTTTCCTTACACTTAACACAACATGAAGCTGGACAATAACTGGAAGCCGATATTTCTTTGCACCTTTTAGTTGAAGACTTAAATAAGGGCACTAACCTATATTTCCACGATATCTCAATTGATTCCTCACACTGTAATCGAATACACATTTTTCCCATTCTTTCTGGCTGTTACCCAGCGACTGAGGAAAAAAGAATATTACAGAAACACATAATTTTTCTCCGCAAGGACTGGCTATTTTCCAAGAGATAATATTAAGCAGAACAGCAGAGGGCCTTTAATTCCGGTAAATACAGAGCATTAGTAAAAGTCCGTGCCGAGGGTAGGAAATATACAAGTTTTTACCTGTTTTATATTAGTTGGAAGCTTTGACCAGGGATAGTTATGAAGAATGTGGAACTCAACATCCGTACTTAGGGCAGACCTGGCCATTTAGTCGTCTATGATTGCCTTAAAATACCAAACACTGACACAAATTTCTCGCCCCTTCATCCTTATAAGTTTCACTTCCCTCCTAGAATGACTTGTTAGGTAGTCCGCTGGCTATCTTTGTATGGGGCTCATAATTCCAGGGAAATTGAACTTTACGCGGGAACTCGCGGCTTTATTTCTTTGATTTTGAATCCTTCTTCAACATCTTCATTCATCTTAAATCAAAAAACCTAAATTTTAATCAATTTACTCTTTCCTCGAAGGAAAACTTCAAGGCAAGCCTTAAGTTACTACATTCCCTGTAAAAAAACTCGTGCCCAGTAAACTCACGGTAACCATGCAGTCCTCAGGTAAAATGGCGTCTCCTGACTACATCTCGTATGGATTTTCCGTAATCGTTGCCCTTGGTGGCGTCATAGGATACGTGAAAGCCGGTAAGTGATAGCTACGTCATGTTTTGATCTGACAAGGGTAAGGGATTTCAATATTCACGGCCCATAAAGCTTCTCAAAGCATGTAGCTATACAGCTGTTATGTCAGCAATGACTCAGCTCACATTTTTAAGTGGTTCGGGAATTATTTTAGGTTTGGTGTAGCTGTATGAAAGAGGAATTTCTTGCAAAACTGGACATAGATGGAGATGGAAAAGAATTTTTTCAAGAAAATGACTTTTTCCTTAAATTCTGTAACTATGGATTTAAAGAAAAGCATTTCGATTTATCTGCAACTTGAAAAAAATCAATGGACCGTGTCGTACTGGAAGATTAAAAGTTAAGTTAGTGTGTCGCTTCATGTCCGAACGCCAACCTTGGATTAAATGGTCTACCTTTTATTTTATTCGCCTTTTGGATCTCTAACTGCTTTAAAAAATAAACTTGTATGATATGATTTTATTACGTTACATCCCGTGCTTGAAGAACCCAATATTTGTTCTCTCAGACACCTCATCGTCCCCTTCCCCCCCCCCCCCCCCGACTCCACCCCATACACCTTTTGGGGGTGGAGTGTGTTTCACATTTATTAAAAAAAGTTTCAGCCAACAATGGAGTGAGTCAGCAGTAAAGTGAATTCAACATGGTGTCATACAATAAAATTAAATACTCTTAAATTTCTCACTTGCACACTAAATCAAAGGTGAGAACATAATTCCTTTGTCAGAGTGATTGGAGGAATTGTGGGTTGTGTGTGTTTGTGTTTATAAGCAGAAAATGGAGCTACACTATTGGTGGGAATATGACAACTAGAAAACAAGAATAAATTAGATAAATGAAAAGCGCCTGTTGATACCACGGGGATTAAGAAGGCCAATTTGAAAGAAATTTTTGTTCTAGAGTTTTGAGGCTTTCTAAATGCTGGAAATGTTATCTTTGAAACTCTTTACGGTGGTCAATTTATGCCATCAACTCAGTTGATAATACTATATTACCCTATTATACTCTCCCACTGACACAGCACCACAGTTTCTTTAGAAACTTACCCCCTTTCCTCATGAAGGAGCCTGGTTGTAGGCTACCCACACCCAAAGGTTGTCTACCAACTTGACTGACTTATTGATGGAATTTAGTAAAACTGCATTATTGCCTCATAGGGAGTGTACCATCTTTAGCTGCTGGGCTGGCATTTGGTGGCATTTCTGCACTTGGTGCTTACCAGACCTCCTCAAATCCAAGAAATGTTTGGGTCATGCTTGGTAAGAACATATTAACACTTTGCAACAATAAGCCATTTCCAAGTTACCTTTCGTCTCATTTCCAAAGCAAGTCCTGCTGCTCATCCTTTTATTCACATGCAAATTAAACTCAGTTTTATACGAATGGTTGACCACCAGGCTTTGAAAAAGAGGCTTAAAGTAATTTGGAAATGGCGTATTAATAATTTACCCATGGATGACAACGCTGCACTATATAAAATTGATTATAAAACTCTTCCTCTGTATCATAAATCTTCATTTACCTATCATTTCAGTGACATCATTGGTCCTGTCTGGAGTGATGGGATCAAGATTTGCAAGATCAGGAAAGTTCATGCCAGCTGGGTTGGTGGCAACTTTGAGGTACCTTAAGTTGTTTGCTAAAACAAAATTGTTTTTCTTGTTAGACTCAAACTTTAAAAGAAAACTTAAGTACAATGGTGAATTGATTTTTTTTATATTTCAGTGTTGCTCAAGCTGTGCGCATGTCTTACCGTCTGATGCAGAACTGATAACAAGATTCTAAACAGCTTTGTTTCCAACTCAGTATCATGCACTATCTACCCTGTAATGTAGCTAGGTTTTGTTAGTGATATTCCATATTCATCTAGACTGAATATTGAAATGTAAAATCAAGGTGCTGTAATGTTAAAGACGTATTCATGGTACATTATTGCTGGTTTTTAACTATCCAGTTTAGTAAGTCTTCTATGTAAAAACCCTCCCTTTTCCTCTTTTAGACTGTGCTGTATATCATGGAGATGCAAAGGTGTAAGAAACACAAGAATCTGTCAGCATTTTTTTTCAATAAAGGAATGTTTACAGCATAATGAGTGAATGTCATTTTTTATATTGGAAACTAAACCTACAGGATCCAATTGTTCAAAGGGAAGATAACATTATCCTATGGATAAATCACCATCCAGTGGATGAGTGTTAACACTTTAATTCCCATGATCTGATTGTGAATTTCCCCTCTAGCTGCTACACATTTCCTGTAAATTAGTTATGAGAATTTGTTATTAGATCAAGATAACAACCTCTACCTGATAAGTTTAAGTATTCTCATTACCTGTTTGCTGGGTAATGTAAGGATATTATGGGTAGAAATTAAAGGGTTAACAAAACATTCCAAATCATCCAACCAATAGCAATTTATCTGGTGAAAATCATTATCCACCCTTGAAAGAACCCATCCAGGTGATTATAGAGATTTGCACAGTTTGATTGGTTCACATTAACACAACATTTTGCCACAATCATCCACTGTTAGGTTGTAATAGAAGTCAGGCACTGATTTCAACATGGCCACTGCACAATATTTTGATGCCTTCGAAAGTAAATAAAAAAGAGGAGGAATTGGAGTAGCTCTGATGTTCACCTGAGTAATTGTAATAAAACAATTACTCTCCTTCAGCCAGTTAAGCCAGTCAAACTTAAGGTGTGCTTGTTCCTATTATTACTGCGAAGGATAACAAATTATTTAACACAAACAATAAATAGACCAGTACGTGTTACTGACCCATCAAGGCAGCACAATCAATTCTTTAGAAACTAATTTCTTCTTTTATTATAAACATGGGACAATGCTGATATGTACAAAGGCAAGTAAATAATTCCCTTGCTCTCCTATTTTGTATTACAAAAATATGCAACTGAAGTTGTCAAAAATACATTTTCCCTCTGAACTGCACAGTATAGAGACTTCCTTTATGCAATCCAGGTATGTTTGAGTAAACAATGATTTCTTAAAGCAGTCTAAATGTGAAAAATATGTACATCTTAGCCACAGAAATAAATAATGAGCAGGTTACTAAAGAACAAAAACGTCCTTAGATAACTGAATTGTGGCCTGCATTACAGACTACTTTTAATTAAACATTGATATCATTATTTATATTTTGTGATCTGCAGGTATGAGGGCAATCTGTACCTGCTCCCAGTGTGTGTTAGTTAGAATGAACTTAGTAATGACCTAGCTTATTGAAGAGTCTTGGAGGCTCAACAGTAAAGCATCAGAGCATGTAATTTTGAAAGGTCTGAAGTTCCATTCTTCAGGGGAACTCAGAACCTTTTTTATCCCACCCTTATGACAAGATGGAAAAACATCTTTTTGAGAAGGACAATTGTCAGATTCACTTGTTATGAATATTGGGCAAAGAAAACTCTTGACTTCCAAAGATCAAATTTCAAGCAGATGACTGCTTGTTCACTTATTTACCTCTCTCAAGCTGTTTGAGTCTTTCCATATTAACCAGATACATGTTAAAAAGATGTATAACCTTTGGTAGTCTGGTGATTGTGGGTTTTTATGAGAATTAAATGTTTGGAGTGATCTTAAAAACCACAAAGAATTGGCTCTTAAAAGAATGAAATCTTGTGATAATTGTTTACTGCAGTAGACAAACAACAGGGAGGTAAGAATCTACCCAACAGGAAGGGGGATGGTTTAGAATCCAGCAGAGATTAACACAGATTGCTGATGGTGGAATTAAAAACTAGGGCTAAAACTGTCATGATGAGCAAACCATGAACCAGCCCCATTGAAAGATATGTATTCAAACAAGTACGTATGAGTTTATTAAATTAGCTGCGAGCAGCAGGAGACTTGCTAGAGGCTCTTCGTGCCACACCTGGTCTGGCAGGGGACTTGCTCAAATTCTCCTTACTCCCTTCTCTGCCTCTAGAATTACTTCTTCCTCTTGTTTCATCCCTTGATGTTCTGCCTCCCTGATCAGTCGCTGAAGTCTTTTTTCCAGGTATCTGTGACGTTCTTTTAGTCAGTGGTGCACCTTTCTTTGCAGCTTCACGAGCTTTCTTTCTCTCTGCCACCTTCCTTGCTTCTTCAGCTTCTTCTTGTTTTCTTTTCTTTTCTTCTTCTAACAGTTTCTCCTTCTGCTCAGCAACAGAATGGACTTCCTCTATCATGTTGGTTGACTACAAAAACCAAAGCATCATTGTCAATCAAGCATTAAATAATACATTGAATAACCACACATTTTGATTAGTTGTTACCTATGATCTATTAGAGGACAGACCCATCCTTACAATATCACCCCTAAATCAAACATTAAGGTCATGAGAATAAATGAACTGATCACCCACTAAAGAAGCTCTACATTGCTAACCAAATTCTTCTTGTCAGCACCTTAGGAAACATATAGAGAACAGTATGGAGAATATGCATACTGATGTTAGGGTGTAAAGGGTAAAAAACATTTTTTTATTATATAAAACAAACAGATTCCGTGTTTCCATGGGTCTGTACAGTAATAGATCACAGAAGATATCCAAATGCAATGACAACATCAGTGACACCCTTGGCTGCCCTTTGTGCCACTTTTTGAGCAGGTTTTGACATCATCTGCAATCTACTACTGAACAGATGCGCAGAAACTTGGAATCTATTTGTTGAGGTGAATCTTTACTGTTTACCTATTAATTTCATGGGCAGTTGCTAAGGGACAAAACTGTTTTAAAAAGTGTGGGCTGATTTGACAGCAAGAAAGAGTTAGTAGATAATCGTTAAGTATACATAAAAATGAATACATAAAAAATATAAAGTAATTAGGATTTAAGGTTGATGCACACACTGAGGCACTCTTTATTTACAAGTTCCTGAAATAATCTGAATGAGCTCAAAGTATTGCTTTCTTAGGAGAAAAATAAAAAACTATGGAAGAACCATGGGGAAAAGGATGAAAACCAACATAGTCTGCAGCACAGGTATATTTTTTGTTGAGAATGCTATGCCCCTAACCCTCTCCATCCACTTAAACCCTGAAGACATGGTAGTCTAACAAATGATTGCAAGCCTGTAACTGTATCTCATTCTTCCAATGAAAACAAGCTAACTGCAGGCTAACTCTTACAACTAAGTCTGCACCAACATGATACTGGATTCATCTTATTCACTTGGGCTATAGCACACTCCGTGGAATCTTCTCTCCTACCCCGCCCCTTGTATACCATTTGGACTCACCCAAACATAGAATGTGGCTGCCCCAGCACTTGTATCTCTGATTGTCTCCAAATCAGTCTCCTTCAGATACTTTTCAAAAGCATAGTCAGCCTTGCTCATGTCCACATGTAATGGATCTAGTGATGTGACCTGCCGCTTCAAACCCTCTTTGCCTGTCTTGCCAAGCAGTGCTTGCATGTTCTTCCAGTTAAGCAACTCCTTCTCAGGATAGTTGAGCAGCAGATATGTGGCAATCATAACCTGTAAAGAAACAAGTATCAAGGAATATTGATAAATCTAGACTTGATAAGACAAGAGAAGATAAAAGTTGGAGTAATAAAGACTCAAGATTCAAGATAGCTGCATCAAGACTTTTCTATTTTAATATTGTGCTGCACAAATTGAAATAACCTTAAATTTAGAATAGCAGCATGTATACTTTCCCCTCCCTAACAAGAGAGAGTGTGGTAGGAAGAGGGGGGAAATTGGAACCTTTGGACAGTTTGCAAGGAGGGATATTTTCAACTCTCAATGACAATACATTCTGGTAAGCTTTAAATCCTGTTTTAATCTGATTGATTCTTGTCAATTATAATCTTTACTTTCCATTGCATGTTTCTCTAGAGTGCATTTCTGATCACCTTATTATGAAATATTTTTAATGAGCTGTAAAAAAAGGAACTAATAAAAAATATTTCTAATATATAGATTTAGCCAAGCCTAAAAGTAGAGCTCGCATTTTTTTTTCCTGTACGTCTCAAGGGCACAACGCGTTGCTCCAGCCAGGACTAGAACCCAGGTGGTCTGACTCAGAGCCCAGTGCACTGACCACTGGACTACTGAACAAAGCCATGGGGTTGGTGTGCCTGTGGTACAGTTGACCACTCATGTTAAAAGTAGCACCTTGTATGGTCGTATATCCAAATTTTTTTGGCTTGATGGGTTACTACTATTTTGTATAATTATGGGGCTACGCTTTGTGAGCTCTGCTATAATCTATATAGAATATTAAATAAATGTATAAATCCCATATAAGTATATACCTTGTGGACTGCAGGAGGTGGATTCCCATAACTCCTGATCTCTGATATTACACTTTGTTTCAGTTCCATGATTTCTGCTTTCAGTTTCTCAAGACGTCTTAATCTGCTTGCCAGTTTTTCTCCTTCTTTGAGTTCAATGCCCCAGCCTTTCTCCCAGCCATTTTTTCGAATGTGGGCCATTGACTTCTCCAGATCACCCAGATGTCGACGTCTAATTGCGCTTTTTAAGGCTTCCCCTGCTTGGACATCCTTAAGAGTGTTTTCTGCAGTATCAATGTCATTCTTCAAACCTGCCACATACAAAGTGTAACCCCATTAGATCTTGGTTGTTACAAAGGCTTTGGCCTTGCTTTATAGTGAAAATTCTATAATTGTCTTATAACATGTCCATGTGCTCAGAAAAGATAATTAACATGAATATAAAAGAAGAGCAATAAGGTCTGCTATATATGAAAGACACCTATTTTAGCCAACTTCCTCCCAAATAACTATTTGCATCAGAAAAATTTTCTTCATGTAATACAGACCAATAATAAGAATCAGAACTTACCAGGCATTTTAGCAGTCTTGGCTTCCTTGATTGATCCTTCCAATTTTTCTTCCTTTCTAGATTTCACTGCCCCCTTTAAGTTGGCCCTCAATCTCTTTTCCTTGTTTGCCATGGCTTCAGCAAGAGCTTTCTTTTGTGCTTCTTCAGCAGCCTTCTTTGCTGCCTCATCTGTTGCTTTTTTCGCAGCTTCAGCTGCTAAACGAGCTTGTTCTGCTGCTACTCTTTCTGCTTCTTCTGCTTCTTCAGCTAATTCTTCAGCCTCCATTGCCTCCTCTCTCTGCTTTCGTTCCAGCTCCTCTCTTTCTACATGATCATGAAATGTAATGGAAAAATACACTTTCTAGTATCCACTTCCAGAGAAGAATGGTACATCAGACACACTTTCAAATAATTACACTTCGATTGCATTGGTAGACTGTGTCTCTTACAACTATGGGTATTGTTATCTTATGCTGTAACTACCATCCCCCACCAAGGAGGTCAAATGAAAATCTTCTTAGGAACTTACAGGCACAATGGATATCCCTTCTTAAGATAAGATAGTCTAAGAAGATTTTTTAGCCTTCCAATTTTTCCAGAACAACTTTAAAAGCACCAACTTCTACAACCCAGAGCCCAAAGGGAGGTTTCAAGTACATTAATTTGGTCACATGTCACTTTTTTTAAAGAATTAACTGAAGACTGGCAGTAAAAAGTTTGATTCCAGTTGCTTGAAGGGTGTAAAACACTATCCACTAGATAAATTGCTATCCGATGGATAGCACAGCTCATTTTGTTTCACTCATCTGCTAGAGAGCAAGTTATCCATTGCAATCTGATTGGCTCTTATTGGTGTGATTTATTCACATATCACCATTTTTTTTCCCCTAAATTCCATCTTTTTCTCAGCCAAAGAGAAACCTTCACTAAAGCATAATAGCCAATCAGATCTCAAAGCTTGTTTAATGTAACCAATCAAATTAGTGGAAAATGAAAGACAATTTTTGCAACTTTTTACAAACCAGATCAGCACTGGATCAATAAAATATTTTTACAGACTAAAATACCCTGTATTTTACTGTCTGAATTTTGCAGTTTCAGCATTGATGTACTAAAGTGGCAATTGAACTACATGTTGTGCAAGTTTGGTTTTGCAATTTCGAATCAAACTTGTGCTGCGTGCTCTTTCAATTCAATTCAATTCGTCAGACCAAATTGCACTCCACTCAATTCAATTACCATTCTAAATCAGCAGCCATGGATCATGGAATAACACCCCCTCCCCGCCCAGGATGTAACCACAGGCTCTACCTCAGGCTTGTAATCTTAGACAACATCCCTTACAAATTTTGGTAAAAACAATTTTAAGTAAATACTTTCTTACCTCTTTCTTCCTTTTCTCGTTCCAGCTCTTGCTGTTTTCGCAGTTCCTCTTTCTTCCACTTCTGATCAGCTTCTTCCTTCTCCCTTCTCTTCCTCTCTTCTTCCTCTAGTCTCTTAGCTTCTTCCTGCCTCAGTCTTTCCTCTTCTTCTCTTTGTTTTGCTTCTTCCTCGCTGAGCCTCTTCGCATCTTCCTCATACTTCCGGCGCTTTCTTTCCTCCTCCTCTTCTTTCGCCTTCCTCTCCAGTTCTTCTTGTTCGGCTTTCTTCTTAGCAGCTTCTGCGTCGGCTTTTCTCCTTGCCGCTTCTTCTTTTCTCTTCGCTGCTTCTTTCTCAAATTTCGCCTTGTTCTCGGCGGCCTTCCTCGCCTCTTCATCGGCTCTCTCTTTCTCCCGTTTACGTCTCAACTCTTCCTCCTTTTCATTATCCTCATCCTGCCTTTCTTCGTCCAGCCAATCCATGGTTGGCATATCGCAAAGTGGAACTTCAATCTCTGCAAAGCTAATTCCAGAACCGGGAGCAGCGCGACTACGAAGGAATTTGAGCCACCGGCGATGCGAGAAAAAATCGTCGTGAACAGCCTGGAATAGGAATCTTGCTTCTCTTTCACTAATGGCACCTTTATTTTCCCTGTCCAGCATTGAAAACTCCCATTGCAAGTCGCGAACGAGAAAATACCTCCGGTCCATTTCGTTGAGAACATCATAAAGTTCCTGCCTGTCGCAAGTTTCGGCCGCACAAACGGCCTCTATTGACGCTTCTACCTGCGGTAAACTTATCCCTCCATCTCTTATGTCAGAGTGTAGCTCCTGCAGTTGTTCTGCTGTTAGTTCACCCGAGAAATCTGTATTAAAGCGGTTAAATGTGTCCGTAAGAGCTTCATCTTTACTAATCCAGTCGCTTGAAGCCGCCATGTTGATTATTGTTTACACCGGAGTCCTGGACACCATGACGTCATTAATACGTATTCAACTCTGGACTGGACGACTGAATCTAATAAGAAGAACAGTGGACAATTTTCAAAGAACATTACATGTTCATTGATCCAACAAGAGAATAGAAGAGGAGGCAGTTTGTCATTATTTTTTTGTATTGAATATATAATATTTGGAAAGGAAATGAGCTAAGTGGAAAATAAGTAGAAACACTTGTAAAACACACATAAAAGTGTTCGTGATGTTAAGGTTGAATATCAGAAGTGAGCTTCAGCTGACGTTTTAAGCAGTTTATGAGTCCGAGAATAGAAAACCTTCACGTGTTGCGCTTTGTTTATTCAAGCAAAACCTTTAATTCTTGCGTGATTTCCAAGTGTTGACGTACAAATTAACATATGGAACAATGGTTGGGGCTGTTAAATCAGTTTATATCGGCTGAAAGAACCGATCGCGTTCAAAAAAATTAAGTATTATGGAAATGCCATAAAAAGGTATTAACTGTGAGCGGATATCCAAGTGCGGATACTTTCTCAAGAGTCTTGAAGTAGGTTTCAGTGACGACTTTGAGATCACCGAAAAATGATAGACACGTAACCTTGATTTTTGAGTAAATGGTAAATGGAGTTAAGTCAATAAGATTACCCTAAAGACACGTGAGAAAACCTCGATCTTTGAAAGTGATATTGTATTTATATTCTGTAAACTCCAAAGCTTCGCACTTACAAAAACTACCAGCCTAAGTTCTTGTTCGATGAATTAAAATCTCTTTGACAAGAATGCGTTTTTTAGCCTGTAATTATTCTCTTTAATCTCAAACACAAAAACAAAAACCGAAAAAAAAAATTTCTAAGCCGTTCTGTATTAATGGCGCTCATTGCATAACTATCAAACCTTTTAAAGAAAAGCCTTTAATTCCTGTTTAGTTCATAAAACACAATTATGATGAAAAAGAAACACACTTTCTGGATGTCTACCAATAGCATGAGATGAATGATGCTGCTAATCAATAGAAAGCATAAACAGTTCGGGGTCACTGCCTCTGTGGTGAAAAGGTCAGATACGTGTCATAAAATAACAAGCATGAGAATCGTATAAGGCAGACAACACAGTTGACTTTGACAGCGCTACGAATCTCGAGACAAAATGTCCTCTGCGGACGAAAATTCGGCTTTAAAAAGAAACTCTGTGCATCAAACGAGACTTAGTCTCGAACTCCAGCAGCTGGAAAGAGATAGAACGACTCGCATGCGTGAAATGGAGAAGGCAACTCAAGCGTTCGCACGGAGACAGGAACAAATTCAGGGCATACGAGATAAAGCTTCGTTGCGAAGAGTTCCAAGTGCTCCACCTGCTCAAAACTATTCCGGTCGCACGCCACTCAGTAAAAGCGTTCTTGCATCTGATTCAAAAGAAGATTTGACCCTTCAACCATTTGTAACCAAAAACGTAAGGCTGGAAAGTGCACCCTTGTCGAGAAATCGTAGAGCACTTCACAAGACCGTGACAATGCCTTCGATGGACTTACTTCCATCGCGTAGCAGTTTTACCGGCTCATCTGGTCACTTGTTATCTGTTAGTAGCGATTCGACCCAAAAAGGAACCAGCCCGAACAAAACAGGATTTTCATCTCCGTTACAAACGCCTCCAAATGGCACAAGAGTGCCAATGTACAGTCGGAATTTCTCAGGTGTGCGACAACGAAACGAGTTAATGACAGCTAGCCTGCCACGAAGAAAGACCAGTTTACCTCTACTATCTAATGGCACAAGAACCACAAGAAGCAAATCTGTGTCGTACTAGATAAGAGAGCTCCGCTGATTAATATTTTTATAAATCCATCCTTTCTTATCATTTCCTCATGAACTCTCAGAGATATCTTGTCAACTCCTTCTAGACGGGTACGTTTTTGACATGAATGTTTTCTCTTAATTTCAAAACAACTTCTCTGAGGAGTGTGAAATAATCCAATATTGATATACTTATCTAAACTAAAGGGAGTATCGGTTGGTATATTAAACTTGAGGCGAGAATATTGATCGTTTTTATGATCATGTGGTGAGAAATGTTACATTACAATCCTCAAGAATTACCGCAAAACTGAGCAAAATCGTAAATCACCTTTGGTAAAAAATAAGACTGTCTGACCTGGTAGAGTAGATGGGGATATAGTATTTAAGAGAGCAAAAGTTAGGTTATATGGTCAACACAACGAAATTTATTTTCCCGTGGGTTCAATCTAAAGAAGCTAAGAAATTTCTCTTGCTGATATTTCTGAGTGAATTTCAGTCAAGTTTAGGTGCGAAAGTATTGAATGGCTTCTCAAAATATTGCGTGACTTTTAATTTTAGCCGTCTTAAAAATCGAGCGCCGTGAGTTCGCAAATAGACACAGTTAAACAAATTGGTTATTTTTATCTACATGAACCAATTAGAAGATCTTTCCTTTGTTGTGACATCTTAAGTTGCAAACTGTTGCACAACAGTGAAGTTGTCAAATCAATATTAGAGGAAAACAAAAGACTTATGTGTAACTCAGCGTCGTTGTTTCAGCCGGAAACGACGTGAAACGCATTAATAGGCTTTGTTTGATTGCTTTTTGCGAAAGCGATCGAGCTGTTAAAAAAACAAGAGTTTTGTATGAAGGACAGTAATTTGTTTTTTATTGTTTTTTAAAAACAAGAGTGTGCTTTTTATTAATTCTTTCTAATATTTGTGTGTTTGGTAAAACTCCTGAACAATTGATCCATTCCTTGTTATGACTGAATAGATATACTTCAGATTCAACATATTTATTGTTGTTCTTTAATCTTGTCTACCAATTTAGGTGCTGGCGTTCAGACAAAAGATATCCTATTTATTTTACGTAGTCCAAATTCTTGTCCCCTTCCTTAGAGCAGTCAACGGACTCAGCTGAGAGTCGAGAAACAAAATAGTTTAGGATGGTACTGGAAAAGAATCGGGTTCCACGACAACTCGTCGAAGATTTCATTACAATGAAAGCGACCGCAAGGTTTAGTCAGAATGAACACTCGTAGTTCAGGCTCATTTTCCTTTTCTCAACGGAGAGGGTTCCACCGCCTTCCTCAATCACCCATCAGTCATTAATCCAATATCAAAGGATTAAGAGACCGCCTCTAGGGACAAAGTGATTATGACATTAATATTTCACTTAAATCGTGTTACTTGACGTCACAGTGAAAATCACGAACAAAAGTGTTCTGGAAGGTTGCTCCACTCAAAGTTTCAAGACTGAATAGAACCCGGCTTCTCCAAGTGCTTACTAAAATAAGTTTTTTCTCCCTCTCCTGAAAGCCCCATTCCGATTTTTTTAAAGATTTAATACAACGAGCTTCCGTAGCAGTAGTTTAGGTTTCCTCGTAGCAAACTGGGAAAATTGTGAGTCACGCGAACGCACGTTTCTCCTGATTCAAAGGAAACGGAAGAGACTGTTAAGCACGCAAAAGGAAAACAGAACAATCACGAACTCAAATGGTTCACTTTTGTACGCAATGGGACCAAAGGTGGAATGAAGGGAAAAAGCGAGATCTTAAAAAAGTACTAACTTCCTGACGCTCATGACAGCTTGTCTTAATGATAGACTGTGATGAACAAACAAAATTTATTCACTGTTGACAGCTTGTCTTGGTGATAGACTGTGACGAACTCACCAAAACAAATTTATTTTGAAGAGGAACTAAGCATTTAAGATATGAAGAATACTCTAAAGGAATACAGAATACTGAATGTTTTTGTGCGAGAGCTGTGTTGTTGATGACAGAAATGTTTCCTGTTCTGCTTGCACGAAGCGACTCGTGAGATTATGACCACTCCACCTAGACGACTTATTGCAATGACATCGCAAGAAAAACGCTTACTTTGGTCACGCTTCTTGCAAATGTACACAACATTACTAATTGCTAACTCTGGGTGGTTTTTTCTTTCAGAGGACGAACGCTTTTCAGCAGTTTCAAAACAATGAAAGCACAAAACACACCAACATCATGACAAATTTGTTTAATCTCATAGAGTAACCTTTTGGCCGTTCACCGCAGCTGTTACCGACAAAACTTGGTAGTGCGGGTGACGGAACATTGGCCTGTGTCCTTTTTTATATTTTAATGGACCTTTAATTCGTGTTGATAAGTAAAACAACGTAAAAGAGATCCAATGTCTAGCCATCTTTACTTCCGCTGAAGAAATTATATATAAGTTCCTCCAGATAAAGAGGGACATTCCGAGAGTGAAGTGTCTTTCTTTCAAGCGCCAAATCTAATATATCTCTACGAGCAAAGTAGTATTTTTAAAAACATTCTGTATTTCTGCGCATCTTCAGGTTTTTCTTCACGTAGTACATGTAGAAGTTTATGAACAACATTTATATTGCTCTATTATATCAGCATAAATCCTTTAACACCTGAGAGTGACCAGCATCCAATTTCGCCTTTCAGTGATACTGGCGAATAATTCATTGAGATCATGAGAATACAGGGAATGAACGCTAACCTAAAAAGCTTTGATTTTTTTAACGAGTTCTCCTTATCAGTACCAAAAGAAATGTGTACAGAACAATAAGGAGAATATGCATGCTGATATCAGAGAGTAAAGGGTTAAGTGATACAATACTCGTACCATCTGAGCTAAGAGTAATTCCTATAAACTAGACATGATAACCATGATATCTAATGTTTGCTTTACAGCTACATAATTTCCATTCCATTGACTTTGTCATATGGTCTATCATTTGATTACATCTCAATGCAAGTACTCTTAAACTAAGCCAAGTTCTTGATGGCTGGTGCAGGACTTGCTCATTGCACAGAAGTCAGTGAGAGATCTACAACATCCTTTATAATATTTATTTTTTCCTGGGTTTCAGCTCATCTGTGCAATTTCTGAGAAAGATCTTGGGCTTGAGTTGGGGGTTGAAGTACTCGTGTCCCTTGAAAGAAACAAATATTGCAGTTCAGTCTCACGATTTCCAATCCATTCATGAAGAACTAAGGAAGTATATAATTCTATAATTACCTTTGACCAGTCATAGCTAGAGCTGTAAGCAAATATGTTTCCTTTTGAATTGAAAGTACAGGCCGTTATGGGCATGGTCAGCTGCTCAGAAGTCTGATAAAGAAAACAAAAGTATTTAAGAAGAAAGAAAACCTTCAGTATAACTATTTGTACACTCTAAAAATTAGTGAGTGAAGCTGGGAGTCTTTCTGTTACAGATTTTCAAATATTAACCCAACAACTGGATATCCTTTTAAACCCCATGAGTGACCAGCATCTAAATTCTCCTTACAGTAATGCTGCTGAATTGTTCATTGAGATAAGAAGAATAAAGGAAATGACCATCAACCTAAGAAGTTGTGATTGTTAAATAAATTCTCCTCATCAGCACTAAATGAGAAGTATAAAGCAGAGTATGGAGAATATGGATACTGACATTAGATAGTTTTGGTTGAATTGGTGCTGTTCACCTTGTTGACTGCCATCTCATCTCCAGTGCTTGCTCGTGGAAAAAGATTTGCTTAATGTTTCATGTCCAATCTTGTTGTGTGTGATAAAATTTCAATGATCGACAAAAGGAAACTATTCCATATGGAGTATAAAAGCAAATGACAGGTCTTGCATCCAGTCTTCCAAAGTATAGATGAGTGCATACCTTAAGCTTTGTACGAGCATCCTTGTCCCAGAAACTAAACTTTCCATCTGATCCTACAGTGGCCAACAGACAGCAATGCACAGGGTGAAAAGCAATATTATTTACCTGAAAAATAAAAGAATTGGGGATTGCTTTCCTTTGCATACAATAATATCCAATACTGAAAAAGCTTTTAAGTGATGCAGGAAATCTGAGTCTATTTAAGTTAACAGAGACTTTCTGGAACATTTCTCTTGAAAAGTGAGGAAAACCTTTCTACCCTTAGATCAGGTTATTATCAATTCAAATTTGACATGGCTATGTTGTGAAACAAATTTTAAACTTCAAAACTATTTTATTTCAGATAATGTACTGAGATTGTTTAAGTTTGCTGTTATCAATCCTTAATTTAACCCACTGTCTTGGACAAATTGTTTGAAAAATTACCTCACACCCTCAGCAAAGACATTAATTTTATTAAAAAAAAATGAATCAACGACAAGGTTATGAGTGCAACAGTGAGAAAATGTTACAAGGCTGCAGCTTTCCTGCGTCACATCCATCCAAATAATTGAATTTTGCCACTGGACAATTCAATCAAAAGGTGCACATACCTTCCTCTTGTCAGAAAGCTTACTTAGGTATTCATAATTATAAACTTACAGCATAAATGTCTTGATAGTTTGCATTTCCTGTTCCGTTAGATCTGTGACACTTGAATGTAAAGTTGTCTTTCCTACAAGTAAAAAAAAACTATTGTTTGAGCCATAGAGTTCCATTTTGATTATAAAATGTCAAGCAAACAGGAATTGACTTGGACTTACGGGTTTTGTGGTTGAATGAACTGGATTGCAACTCTTCCTTCAACTGAGCCAAGAGCAAAGCCAACAGGCTGGTTGTTTTTCTTTGGATCTCGGAAAATACTCACACAGCGGTTCTACGAGAAAAAAGCATCATCCCAATCAAAATGACATATCATGATAAAAAAGCATTGTCCCAATCAAAATGACATATCACCATTTTTGAAAGTAGCAAAAGACAAACAAAGCTGTTTAACTATATTAGTTAATCATCATCACACAAACGAGAGATGTGAGCTCTTTGTCAAATGCAAAGGACAAAGAGAAGGAGTTGACCTCATGACATCTGGATCACTCAGAAGCTCTAGTACTCAGTTCAAGGCAAGATGAAGTAAACTACACTGCAGAATAAATGCAGAGTGGAATTGCCATGTCTGTGATCCATGAGAGATCAGGGATCGAACATTGCCTGAACAGGAAAAGGAAGTGAAGAAACCTTTCCCTTCAGTGAACAATGTCTTCGCTTTAAGAAGACCAACTTTTACTTTTAAATATCACCCAAACTTATGAAAACAAAAAGCTCAAATTACGGTTTGCTTCAATTTCAGGTGTGAATTTGCATAATCTTTCATGGACAAAATCTTTATGAATTTCAAAGATCAAAACAATTTTCTTAACTTAATCTGCTTTATCTTTATCCACTTAGCAAACAAAGCTTTCCAAATTACAGTCAAAACACCAGACGTAGTTCACTTTGAATTTCTTGATCTAGCCTAGATTCTCCGACCGCATCGAAACAGGTTTTACTACACAGCTTCCATCTGAGACTCCTAGTGGAACGTGATGTAAAAAATATATCACGCGTTACTAGGTAACAGTGCGTATACATATGCACGAACCCCATTAAAGGGGGGTTTGCAGAATTACACACTTTGTCTGTGTTGAAGTTGTTATGGCAGCAATACAATCCCTCTTTCCAATCTCGAAGACTTGTTTCTTTGGTGTACAAAGTTGAATAGAAAGAGGAGGAAGGGCTGTTGTTTAAAACTGAATCTGATGCCCTCATTGTCTGTTACATTCCCGGCTAATACCAATATGTTATAATATTTACACCTTTTCTAAACTGATAGATCATTTAAGTTACAAACCTGGTACTTCAGTGGTGAATCAATCCTCTTGTATTCTGATGGCTGATTCTCCAGCTGATAACAAATTATTCCTCTCTGTGCAGTTCCAATAATGGCCATTGGGTACACCACATCTGCACAGTAGACCCTCTCTGGAAGTGTTATAACCATCATGGGATTATTTGACCTAGTGTCCCAAAACTTCAGTGTATTGTCCCAACTGCCAGTCATAAGACAGCTGTAGTTTGGTGCCTGTACCCAGTGACATGTTTTGACTGGTTTGTCATGCTGAACAACAGGAAAAGAACATGAAAGAAATTAACTAAAACTTTCATAATTGTTTGATTACTCATCTTTATGATGTGGGGACACTTTTGACATGCTTTTATAGTGAACCCTTTCACTTCTAGGAGTGATCAAAAAGTAATTACACCCTACATTATAAATACACTAATAACCAGACAGGTGATGAAAGTAAAGAAACTTATCAATTGGGGAATGTTAGAGCTAACATTAAAAAAGCGTGGAAGATTGTGAGTTATGCTTGAGATCTTGGTACTGAAAGGGTTCAGTTTGTAAGCCCTCTTTGCCTCTGTCACTAAACAAACTTCTGAATTCCAAAGAATTCTTAGCTTGATGCGAATTACTGAGGGCAAAAAAGAATAATGTATTCTCTGTTCTTTGATAAAAACATATATTTTCTTGAGCATCAGTACTTCTCATTGATGTCTGCTATACAATTCTTAATCCTTTAACTCCCAGAAGTGATTATCATGTAACTTCTCCACATAGTATCCATGTATTATACAGCAAACAGGTAATGAGAATACTCAAACTCATCAGGCAAAATTTATTACCTTGATTGAACACCTAATTCTCATAATCAATTTACAAGGAAATGTGTAGTAGCTAGAGGGTAGAATTGACAATCAGATTTTGGGAGTTTAAGGGTTAACATGCAAATTTAGAGAATTTGGTATTGGTTCACCAAATACACCCCCAATTTATATTTTTTCTTATTTTCATCACCTTTCTGCTTGGTAGTGTATTAATATTGTAAGGAGAAATTCTATCTTGATGACCCATGGGAGTTAAAGGGTCAAATGTGATATGGCTGAGATGTGGAAAGTGCATTTGTATTACCTGAGCCACTTGGATGGCTTGATTGGAATTCAAATCCCACATCTTACACTGTTTGTCAGTGGATGCTGTAAACACTTTTGTGCCATCCTACAAATAAACAGCAAAAACAGGGCAAAGAAATCTTACAGAAGCCAACATCAGTATATACTGCAAAACATAAAATATATAGTAGTAAAGATAGTAGTGCAAAGCAAATAACTTACATCATGCCAGCAGCAATCCAGGATTGGACCTGTATGATTTTGCTGTGCCTTAGGAACAATCTGACCATCTTCTCTGACTTCCCAACATCGAATCTAACAGAGACAAAAAATAATTTGCACTCTGGAAGTGAGAAAGATGGCAAATTATGAACTCTGTAGTGGAATAAAGAGGGACAGTCACACAATGTTGAATAAAGTAAAAAAATCAGTCCTGTTAAGAAAACAAACCTTGGTGCAAGGAAACTGAAAATCTGAGGTTTGATTTCTCAAGGGGAATAAAATTGTTTTTTATTTGTCTTTCTCTCTAATGATGATTTATCATCAATTCTTTATGAGGAAACCAAGCCAAAAGATTCATTAAGTTTCTCTTTTGTACATTAGCAATGAGGTGAAGATTACCCCTAGTTTTGTAGATACATGCCATCAGTTATTTCAGGTCATTAATGCAATCTAAAGAGCTTGGAATTTTATTTATTTCTAACAAAATAAATCCTCTTAAGTTTTTGCTTTTTTAAAATAATATTATTGATAGCTTTTTTTTTGGCAAACTTTGGAGGTGTCTTAATCTGAAGGAAAGCTGGTTATCCTTTATCGTGTATGTACACATGTACATGTCTGCCCTAAATTGACCAACTGATAATTGTATTCTGAAGCTTGCCTTCCTTAGATAAGTGAGGTTTATTTTTCAAATTAACAGATAAGGACGATGAAAATATCAATTTTAGGAGTGAAATGATCAAAGTATAGCTAGTAGAAAGGATCGTAGAAAGCAAACAAATGCAGATTTCAAACACTCACATCATTTGCCCAAGATGATGCGATAAGGAAGTCAGCTTTCGGACAGAACTTCAAAGAACTAACTGTGTCATCTGGCGGACTTTGTATTTCCAAGTCTTTCATTGGATTATCCAGCGTTCCAAGGCCGAGGCTATTCGTCGTAGAAGTAGAGGTACCAAAACCAAAAGTTGACGAGGTACCTCCAAATCCTGTGTTCGTTGAGCCAAACATTTTCTAACGATCGAGACAGTGTTTCAGACGCGACCTCTACTTGTATTGTTTTAGTAAGGAGTTGATTGAAACTGTTGTCTAATTTACACAGAACTGGTGAAAACCGCTTCCTGTCGGTTTGACTATAGGATGGCGCCTTTCGTTAGATGCATCATATACCGTTCATGATTGTGAACACTCACGGGGAAAGTCGCTGCCTCAATCTTGAGCCCGTCGTCCAATCTTCATTCGATGAAGGCAAAATCCGTCTCTCGACTGTCCTTCCCAACTTCAATGTGCGGTGTGGTGTAAAAGGGACGCAGTGATCCCGTTCGAGGTGTAACCGTTGACCGTTTGTTTTGGATGCATTGAAGTTACAATGAAGTTAGGTCGAACTTCCCTTGTCCTCTCTTCTTATCACCTTCGAGGTGTAACCGTTGACCGTTTGTTTTGGATGCATTGAAGTTACAATGAAGTTAGGTCGAACTCCCCTTGTCCTCTCTTCTTATCACCTTCGAGGTGTAACCGTTGACCGTTTGTTTTGGATGCCCTTGTCCTCTCTTCTTATCATGTGATCAGTGCTTTATCATAGCACGTTCTGAAGAAGGCAGGAGGTACCAATCGAAATATTACCTTTTGAAATTTGTCTGCCTTACTATTGGAGAATGAGAACTGAGGTTTAATTTCGACCTCAGTTAGAAGTGATACCTTACACAAATTAGTGAAATATAACCGATACAGAGAGTAGCTTCCGAAGGAATTTAAGGTTTTCCTTTTGTCGTAATGTCGTCTAACTTATCTTGTGCTGGTTTTTTCTGGTGGAAAGTGTGAGAAAGCGTTTAAGAGTGAATTTGGGGAAAACCGATTTCATGTGGTAACAGATCTTTGTTCAAAGATAAGTTTACACAGAAAAACACAAGTAGCCTCTTTGTTACCAAACTTGCACACAACTTAATCTGGGCCCTCTCTCTTAATAGAAAAAAAAGGGTTGTCCTTAACCGTATCTGAAAGGGAGTTAATGGAACATTTTAAGAGCGGAAGCATGATGGTTTTCCTCTTCTTTTCCGTTTAAGATTTTATTTTTTTCTCTGCCAGGTCACGCTTCCTACAAGTATTTTATTTACAACTTGTCGGCCAAAAATCTTCTCGTTACAAGAAAATTATCAGACTCATTGTGAAACACACAACCCGAATATTTACCAATAATCGCGACAAGGTTGTTTAATTAGTCTGATATAAAGGAGACCACGGATTGCTCACAGATAAACGAATGAAAAATTTCTCAAAAAGCTATTTTGAACTAATGTTAAAAAGGAAGCACTTCTAAGCAGCGGGTAATACACCAAGCAACGCAAATAATCCTCTGAGAGGGTCTAGATCATTTATTCACTCAATACTAAGTACCTAACCATGTAAAAAAGCCATCACTCCAATTTCAAGGTAGTAAGTGTAAGCGCAAAACTGGGGGTGCTACTCTTGACTAAAGGACAGAAAGCATATTTAAGAGTTTTCGGCCAAGATAATACAATAGCTGCTATTCACAATCTAATTATGTTCCAAGCCTAGCCGGAGCCCCCAGCAGGGTCGCATTGCAGTAGGCGCACAATTGAGGGGTCGCTTTTGGCTCCTTCGATGAACTCGGCCTGTGAGAGCTTTCCATCCAGATTTTTATCCATTTGCTGGAAAATCTTCTCGACTCGTTTCTCTGGCGTGCTCTCGTCTTCAGGCATTTTCATCACAGATCCCACCATCTTATAAATGGCCCTAACGATTTCCAGCATTTCTTCTTTGGAAATGTAACCATTACCATCTAAGTCGTACATGCTGAACGCCCATCTCAGCTTCTGCTCGAGTTTTCCGCGCGAAGTCACCGACAAAGCGCAAATGAACTCACGGAAGTCGATCGTACCATCCTCGTTCTTATCAAACGTGCGAAAAACGTGCTCCGCAAACTTTGACGCGTCGCCGTACGGGAAAAAATTTCCATAGATTTTCTTGAACTCTTCAACAGTAAGGTGACCACTGGGGCAGTCCTTGAGGAAACCTTTGTACCATTCCTGTAGTTCTTGTTCGTTAAATTCCGTCTGTTGAACAAGGTCGGTAATTTGCTCCGGCTGAAGCTTACTGTTTTGTTTCCCCATCTCTCAGCACCTGCGAGACAAATCAAAAGACAGCGTCTCGGTGAATTGATGAATTTTCATTCACAATATTACATCCACAATACTTTGTATTTCGTTTGTGTTTTCACAGACCTGAGATATGTAATGTTTTCACTTCACCACGAACGTACACCAGATATTTTACGAATTACGACCGAGAAAGAAAAAAAACCTATTACGATTCACTTTCTCTCAACCTTAGGAGGTGAAAGCAGAAACAGCGCCGTTCCAGGAGGAAGAATTTTAAAAGTGTCATTGTAATGCAAATACCGCAGAGTCGAAAATTTAAATTTAGAGAAAACTGCTCCAAGCGAAGCACAAGATTTAATATTAAATATTAATTGTTACCTTTATTCTTAATTTTGTCAGATTCGTTTACATAAATTCTTTACAGAGTATCCTTTTGTATAAGACCGAAGAAAAGACGGGATCCGTGTATATTTTTCTGTCTCTTCGCATGACCAAATGAAATTCACAAAAACTTTCATGCCTGATCCAGACAGAGTTTGCCTACTGTGAAGACTCAAAACCAAAACCCATTGTTTGTTTTCGACATACATACACCGCTAAGTTAATTTGTAATTTTAAACAAAGAACCCATGTGTTATGTTGAGCAAACAAGTCTGATGTATTCACATTTACAAAATAACTGAGAGGGTACGTAAGCTCTGATTGGTACAAAAGCCCATCGTTGACTGCGTTGGTTATTTTATAAATGCAATAGACCGAGCTTCACAATGAGTACCTGAATGTTCTTTACATATATTTACTAGCATAATAACCTGCGTAGGAAAATAGGGGAACACGGGAAAATCTTAAAAATCACTTGTCTTTGCCACGTAATAATTAAAATGCGGTCTGTCGTCATTCTCTTGCCGTATAATCTCTACACCACGGAAGAGTATATCAGAACAACAAGCCTGAAAATAAGCGATCGTAGATGTTATCTTCGTAAGGATTCGCATTGCAACTAATCAAGGGAAGTGGAGACTAAGTAATGCTGATGCTTTTAAACTTTAAATTCCATTAAACCATTGTCAAGTTTAGCCATAACAAATTCTTTTTTAATGAATTTCTCGAAAAGATAATTTAAAACAAGCCTTCAGCCTAGACATCATCATGGACCAAATCATGAATTTGCCTAATTTGTGGTTACCGTAACATAAACACGGTATCTGTATCGTTTTAATGCACAAGCATATCGAATGATCTCAAAAGCGACGGCCGACAAAAACAAAACGATCTAACCGCACTCAGTTAGCTTTTAAATCGTTTATAAGAGGATCTTTCTGCATTCACCTGCAAGACCCCTGTAGTCCGAGGTATTAATTCACAGGTGCAGAGGGTGGGGGGCCATGTGTGACATAGGGTGGGGCGAGGTAAGACATGGAAATTGACGCGAATAATGAGACATTTTCATCATTCCCAAAAAAAGAAGGAAGAAATAAATTCAGCGATTAAACGCAGGAAAGGATGCCAATTAAGGGCTTTTACTACCTGAAGTGTTGTGTTGTGAAGACATGGAAGTTGACGCGAATACTGATACATTTTCATCATTCCCAAAAAAAAAGGAAGAAATAAATTCAGCGATTAGACGCAGGAAAAGATGCCAATTTAAGGGCTTTTACTCCCTGAAGTGTTTAGCTTTGACTTATCCTTGGGATTTCAATAAATTTCCTGCGAAAAGATTTTGTAAATGGACAAGTTTATCACGAGTTTGAACGTCAAATTCTTTGTCAAATTTACAAGGTAACGTAGGCAGTCAGAAGAGACATTCACCGAGCGGACATTTGAGGTTAAAGGGTTCATCGAAACACTAATAGTCGAAGTGTTCACACGTCAGGGTTCCATTCTACACGCTTCAATATATTTTTCTCACCACTCTCATTGACAAAGACAAGATCAATGAAATCAGCAGAATTTGGCTACTTCTGTAAAGTCATAACTTAAGAGAAGCTCTGAAGTCTAAACAGTGTGCGCAATAAAACCAAGGCAAAAGCAGTGGAATCAAAAGATACCTTCCACCTTCTAGACTTTAAGATGTGGGGGGGCAACAACGAAGAATTCCTTTAAAACAATACTTCTAAGTCTGCAACGCAAGGTCTGCTTGTCATTAACAATTCATAGACCTTTTTAATTTTTTTCCCTTTTCGACTAGTGGAACTTTACAGAAAAAGTTAACCTAAGTATTGCTGGACAGCGACGTACACTGTAATGACAAAATATTCATTAAGTTAAGTTAAGACACTAAATGAAACAACTAGAACTAACTTAAGTATTGAGTTAACCGTCCACATTCTTTATGAGAAACAATATTCTAGTCCATTCATACTTTAATAACATATCTGCCCTTCAAGGACGTTCACTTCTCATGAGCAGCCTATCAACAATATTCTGTTTTATGGCACGCCTTATCAGAAAACATATTACCTTCCGCACATAAAAACCGTTATGCGAAAATGCAATCACCCCCTCGGTTTACATTCGTAAGGATTCGTCAGCTCCAAAAGCTGACCGATGAGAAGACATTACCACCAAGCCGAAAATTGGGTGCATCAGCAAGGATGCTTGAGAACTGCTATGGAAAGGAAGCCCGTTTCTCCAACAAAATGGAATTTTCCCTCAAAATTTTGGGGCGTTGACTGTCATATCTATACTGCAATGATAGGTCAAAATGTTCGCAGACATTTCTTTACCTTCCTAAGTTCTCGAAGCCAAAAAAGTGAATAAGTAAAGGACTATTAACACATTGCTACACTAACAAGCAACAAAGTTAAAGAAATTGTGTTTTGTTCTTTGGTTTCTTTCCTATTTCAAGTCGAGAGTTTCCATCGATACATTAGAAAAGACACTGGTAAACACCAAGAAGAAAAACATATTCTCCATCAGTGCTTATCTGCCACAAACCAATCATAGAAATAAATAAATAAATATTCCACTAGCGAGCTCTCTTTAAGTGATCGAAACTCTGCTCTTTAAATCACCATTTGATTCGAAGGAAAAAGAAAAGGGATGAATTCTCTCTGTAAGGCTGTCTTTGTAGACAATGAAACAACTTTCGATCTAAAAAACTTACCCTAAGATATACAACAAATCGTGCATCGACAAAAATTATCTATAACTGCTCCTCTTAGAAGGCTAAATGCGCCGATTCAAATCTGCCAAGAACCTAGCTTTTGACTGCCCGCGTCAAAAGAGGTCAGCTGTGCTCAATAAACTTGACATGCTCGGCCCAATCTATGCGTGTAACTAAGGAAAAAGCAGCTTTCTCTTGATTGGCTGGCTTGTCAGTGAAGAAAAGTGTTAAGAGAGTAAATATCTTAAAAGGAAGTTATCACGAGTTTAACCAAGATATGAGACGAAACTTACATTCCTCTATGGGAAAGGAAGAATAAAAGTCAACACTAAAACAATTCAAATGAAATCTATTCTCCCGAAGATCCTTGAGCAGGGTCGCATTGGAGTAGGCGCACGATCGATGGATCACTCTTGGCCCCTTCGATGAACTCGGCTAGAGATAGCTTTCCATCCAAATTTTTATCCATTTGCTTAAAAATCTTCTCAGTCCGTTTTTCTGGCGTGCTCTCGTCTTCGGGCATTTTCATAACAGAGCCCACCATCTTGTAGATGGCTTTGACGATTTCCAGCATCTCTTGTCTGGAGATGAAACCGTTACCATCCAAATCGTACATGCTAAAAGCCCACTTAAGCTTCTGCTCGAGTTTTCCGCGCGACGTCACGGACAGAGCGCAGATGAACTCACGGAAGTCGATGGTGCCGTCGCCATTGCTATCGAACGTGCGGAATACGTGCTCTGCGAACTTGGATGCGTCACCATACGGGAAGAAGTTACCATAGATTTTCTTGAACTCTTCCACAGAGAGATAACCGCTCGGGCAATCCTTGAGGAAGCCCTTGTACCATTCCTGTAGCTCATGCTCATTAAACTCCGTGTTCTCTTTAAGATCCGCCAATACTTCGGGCTTGAGTTTGCTGTTTTGTTTGCCCATTGTTCACGCGCGAAACCTGTAAAAGGGTGGAGGGCAACTGAGTTAAACCAGTACATCATCAAATGTGAGACAGTCACACAAGAGCAGTACAGGTGAACAGGCGAATCCCACGCATCTTGGATGGTTGGTGCACGTCAGCGGTGAGTTGGGTTAGTAAGAGAGCAGATGAAGTTGACGGCGTCAGTAATTATGGTCAGACTTTGTTGAAGTGAGAAGAAAAGTGTTTGTTACCCGTGCACCCAGCAGTGACACCTGACTTTCAAGCTTAGGTACGAGGGTTAATTTGATCACGATTACAACCGCTGTTAACAGTTAGTTACACTCTCATTTATTGTTCCTTTTATGTTCTGTATATTTCATTTGTCAGAAACATTCTAGCACAAAGTTGTTTAAAGGAACAGTCCTTACATCACCTGAGCAAAGCCACTAAACTCGTCGAGTATTTCAAATCAGCGGAAGTATGAAAAAATAAAGTTTGATAAAACCCAAGAAGTCTTATGCGGTACTTTTCTTTCTTTTAACTAAAAACTAAAAAAACAAAAATTTTTTTAATGAAACCCTGGTGTGCAACCATTCAAATGACAACTTAAGTCAACTTGATATTCAACAGAAAAAAAGAAATGACCTAGTTACATTTAACCTTAACCCTTAGACCTTAAGAGTGATAAGCATCTAATTTCTCCGTACAACATCACACCTGAATCAAACATTTAAGCCATGAGAATAAGTGAAGTGATCATAAACAAAAGAAGCTCTTAATTGTGAAACAAATTCTTTTTATCAGCACCGTAGGAAATGTAAAGAGAACGGTATAAAGGATATGCAAACTCATGTTTGGGTGTTGCCGTGCAACACTAAACGGTAATTAAAAATCTTGGATTATCCAATTTTTTACAATCTTTGTACTTGGTTGCCCAAATTGAGAGAGATTAGGAAACGTTCACTGCTGGAAAGTTAATATAGTAAAAGTTGGTGAGGTTATTTACCAGTGCTTGTGCAAAGATTGAAGGAAGAATCATACCATAGAGGATAGTGAGTAATTAATTACAAGTAACAAATAAATCCCCAAGTGCTTGAGATAATACACAACAACAAATAAGGAAGTACTTCAATACATGTTTGCAATATAAACAGTCTGTAATTGGCATCAACATTTAGTTAATAAAGAGCTGACTTTGAAGCTTGTGTCCAAAGTAACTCAACAATTACAAATACGTTTTTGTTTTCACCCCTTAAGGAGTCAAAACAAAAGAGGACAATCCTGAAATAAGTATTAAATAAATATTACAGTACAACTGCAAAAACAAAACAGTGTAAGTCAGATTAAAATTATTGCAGTAACTTATGGAAAGAGAAAAAACCAATTACATGTTTCTGTAGTGCTTTATTTCATAAATCCACATTTACAAGCCACAAATAAGTGGGTGAAAACAAATTTTCAACAATTTTCTGAAGCTCCAAAGGTATTCAGAGTGTGGAGCTCTCTTTTTTCTTACTAATTAACACATGACATGTTAAGTATGCTGGTCCATTTTCACTTATGCTTAGACTCCAATACATAACATTATTTCCCGAGGTACACAGCAGGAACATGAATTAAATACATGCATAAAATAAATAGTAATTGAAAAAAATCAACCTCATAACACAATTCACAATGTCTATCTTCCCCCTCTTAAAAAAGGCTGTCATTATATATATCAAATACAATTTTCTTTTGAGAATTACGTACACTTGTAACTCAAATATCAGCATTATGACTGAAATTATAGTAAGTATAAATAGTAATTTATCAATGTTCTAAATACCCACTGCTAAAAGAGGAAACTTATAGCAAGGAACTAGCAAGCAAGGTATAGGTATTCTACACTACAATGGCATCAAGCAGATATTCAAGTTGCATTTTGAATTATAATACTTTTTTATCGGTTACATTTCTGTATTCATCCTACAGGTGGTTGAGCTGTGGAAGTTGTGGCATCACACTGCAGGAGACGCACAATGGATGGGTCATTCTTGGCCCCAGCAATGAACTCTTCAAGAGAAAGTTTTCCATCACTGTTTGTATCCATTTGATTAAAAATCTTGTCAGTACGTTTCTCTGGTGTACTTTCATCATCTGGCATTTTCATAACAGTGCCTACCATCTTATAAATAGCCTTGACTATTTCCAACATTTCTTCCCTAGAAATGTAACCATTACCATCCATGTCATACATGCTGAAAGCCCATTTTAATTTGTCATCCAGCTTTCCACGAGATGTCACCGACAGTGCAACCATGAATTCACGGAAATCAATATTGCCATCATCATTCTTGTCAAATGTACGAAACACATGCTCAGCAAACCTAGATGCATCTCCATAAGGAAAGAAATTGCCATAGATTTTCTTGAACTCTTCTACAGTGAGATGTCCAGTAGGGCAGTCCTTCAAAAATCCCTTATACCACTCTTTGAGTTCCCCCTCAGAGAACTCTGTTTCTTCTTTTAAGTCAGCTAACACTTCTGGTTTGAGCTTACTGTTCTGTTTGCCCATTATTTACTCTAAAGGCACAGAAATAAATAAGTGTTAGCCTTAAAATATAAATTAAGAAATCACAATCACCAACTTTTCTTCAAATTTTCGGTCACAGCAATTAAAATAAACCATTATAATAATTTTCATCTCACTGTGAAAACCACAGACACTTTGATTTGGTACTGATAGGTTATTATTATGTTCTGATCAATCACAAGGATGTTTAGAACATGCAAGTAAACCTTAAAAATCCACAAATTGATTATTGTTGCTGATTGCAGTTTGGTTATCTTATGTCTGATTGGTTTTTTCCTTTAAATACAATAACATTTTATAAACAGTTATTGAGTTCAAGGCTGACTGAGTTTCAAAGCAAAGCTATTCCAGAGACTTAAAACTTAACAAGATATAATTTAACATTAGTCTTCCAATGTATTTAGTTCAGTTGTATATTAGAGCCTTCTAACAGCAGTCTACTGCCGGTCTTTTTTAGGTAATAAGATCAACTAGCTGTGCATCACTTAAAGCAGCATACTTCAATGTGATCCACATTGGAAATGGCTAAAATGTCAAACAAATGACAATACAAAAGTATCATCATTTTTTACCATGATAGGTGACCACAACCTTTTAAGTACAATTATACCAATGTTTCACACAGAAAATTAGCTTAGCCTTCTAAATGTCCTTAAAATCAAATCAATCAGTATTCATAATTCAAAAGGCTCCACAGCAAATTCTATTGTAGCATTGTCAAACAATTTCAGTGCAAATGATTCCAAAAATAGATAACATTGTTAGTGAAGGTATATCTCCAAAATAGGAAGTTCAATCCTAATTAATAATTTATGCAAACTTAATGAAATGGACACAATTCCTAGTGTGGCAGGTAGACAGCTTAAGAAAAACAAAACATTCAAGTTTCTAAAAAAGAGAATTATGACATCAACAATTATAGCTATATGTGACACAAAAACATTCATTTGTCTCCAAAATAGGAGACTACTTCATTAAATTCTTTTCAGACTCTCTAATCTGAAAATTTAAAGATTAAAGTAGCAGATATTATGAAGATAATCATTGTCTTGCATAGCTGAACATTTTTTTGAAAAAAATTGGTTACTTGAGCAGAACATCAAGGAAATTACTGAATCAATCTTCTTGCTATAAATTTGATGGCAGACCTTCACTAATTATTACAAAAAGTAATTTATGGAAAAAATAAGTGCTTACAGGAAGGGCCTAGGAAAACACTGTAAGTTTTGTTTTTGGGGGAAAAACACTATAGTCTGCTACTCTTTTATCAGTTAGTACTTGGTTGCTAGTATTTATGACTACTTCAAGTATAAACTAGAAAATCAAAGAAGAATTTGTGCTACAATATCAATATCAAATCTCATAAATTATGACTGTAATGTCTTCAGTTGATTTTATTTTGCAACTATAAAGGTGATAGAGCCTTGCCAGTTATTTATATCATATCAAACTTATCAAACAATTTAAAATGCATGTATATTAGATCCATGAAAACAAATATAGGAAAATTTTGTCTCATGTTAGGATGGCGAAAGAACATGCAAAAATTTGGGAACTTGATTTAATACAGGCAACAGCACTTAGGTAATTCTACAACATTTTAGACGGACACATCTGAAAACATGTACCAACAAATATTTTTAAACTCCAAGTACGAATTTACATTCAGCAACTCATATTTTTAAAAATCACTTCAAGATTAAACATTTAATTTCATGATGACAGTCTACACTGGGCCATCTTATATTGATGTCGTTTGCCAAAAATACAAGTTAAAGCTAATCTAGACAGAAAATTTTTATGAAAAGTGTTATTTTTATAAGTTAAATTTTTTGTTTTCCTGATCAACCCCAACTTTTCCCCTTTGATGCTTCTTATGGTGCACAAGAACCATCTCCAAAAGCAACATGTGAAAAAATTGAAAAATAATAGCGTATGCAGTTATGATTGCTGGTTAAGAAAAAAAATGTGTTAGATAGAGATGCAGATAAAAGAAAAATAAATAAAGTAAACAAATGAATGTGTAGTACATACCATAAACTGTTGTGACAAGTGGAGTTTTATAACAATTGCTCCAGAGAAATACTGCCCAACAAAGTCCATGTGCTCCAAGTGAGGTCTCAGTATTCTTCAATAGATATTCACGTCGTGTGCTGATAAGTACTCTGTCAGTTGTACACTTTCTAACACCCTCAAATAATTAGCCTCCACAAAAACCAATGCAAGAAGATTACAGCATTGTTGGAGTTGGTTGATAACACAAGTAGTGATTAAATCAAAATGAAATCAAAGAAAAGGAACAAAAACAAACAAAAATGTGACGGTGAAGTGCTAATAAGACATTAACAAGTTTTGTAATACTAGTTGATAGTCCAGGCAACTGCTAAATTCCCTTCTCTTCATTCTTTTAAATCATTTACTTTTCCAACATTTGCTTTTCAAACATTTTTCCATCAAACCTACCAGAATTTTGTGGTAACTGAAAAGCTCCAAATGGGAAAAGATGGATATCTCCTAAAAAAATACTCTACTTAGAGAATAGCCAGGATACAACAAAGAACATTCTAAAATCACTTTTTAGTTGCTATTGACAACACAAATGAAGCATTTGGTAAGCAACAGGGTCTTGATTTTGACTTGACATAAAAAGACAGAGAAACAGAAAATAACTGACCCTCATTCCTACATTCCAAGAGTTTTTACCATTAGCGGATATGTTATTACTTCAAAGACTAACATTCATTGAAGAGCAGTCTTACCCACAAGTCAGATTTGACTGCGCCATTTTTAAAATAAAAGAATTCTATGAATCTTTTCACTAAACACCTTCAAATAGCATTCATTATCAGACCTGCCCTTTAACATGAAGCACTGCTATACCTTCAACTTCAGAAAATACCTGCTTGTTCCAATAACCTCATAAACAAAAAAAGACAAGTTTGGATGGGGGCGGGTGGGAAAGGGGGGAAGAAGGAGGTATGTGCAGAATCTGATAATAGTTTCTTTTACAGACTATACCATTCTTTTTCTGCATTCCTTGCATTTTCGAACAAGGAAGAGCTAGTCATGGACCTAGTTTTAGATGGCCTTAATATGTCAAGAGTAGTGGTTATCAGTTAGTTTGCAGATATTGATAACACAATAGCATAATAAACATTTTCCTTAGGGAATGCATGAGAAAAAAATTCTCCATAAATGCATGTCACTAGCTCGGAGAAACTTGGATAATTTGTATTTCTTTTATCAACTCTACTTTGCAAAATTAATGGTAACTAACTCTGTACCATGAAAAATTTTCAGACAGGAAATAGCCAAATATTTGACCCTTTCTATATTTAAATTAACTTTCACCTAGATAAACTGCACTTTTGGTTAAGAGAATACCAACAAAGGAAGACTCTGTAATGTTATTCAAATGCTAATTCATATGTGGAAACACTTAAGCCAGGCAATTTATTTCTCTTTTGAGACCATAATCTTTTGACTTTCAAAATTAAGTTTCTTAATGATAATTAAGTGAGAGCAGCAATAATTACTGTAGAGTAAAAGACAAAGTGAGATGACAGAAGTAGAAACCATCCTACCTTTTGGGAAAAAACTCACCCACACTCATAACCACAAATAAACCTTACTACATGTCAAACATATTCAGGTCCCAATGTCATCTTTTGTTTAATCTAAAATAGATTAAATCTTCTAACTATTTTCTTACAAACAGGGATGTGTTCACTCACAAGACAACCTCAGAGAAAGTCACAATTTTAGATGAAGCCCTTTACCCAAGGAAACAAATTTAGAGCACAAGGTTCAAGGAAACCAAACCAAGGCGTCACACCTTGATGGCCATAATATATGTCCTCTGCCACCCATTGATGTCAGATATAAAAAAATTATCTGTTTAAAGCAAAATGAAAGACAGATTGGGAACCCAATAACAAAAGAATTAGGAGCCATCAGCAGACACACAAAACCAAAAAGAGATCAAGTTGAAACCTGCTGCTATTTATTTCATCTGGAAAAAAACCATGACAACTTTGGAATATAACACATAGCTTATAACAATATTCTTTTGTGGTGAACCTATTTTTGAGGTCAGCAGGGAGGTAAAACTCATAAAATGAAAAAGATTTAGGTAACATTTTCTTTTCTTGAGCACGATAAAAACCATACAGTATTATAGTGATTCGTACGTGCCCTTTGCAAAGTTTCATCTCCAAGAAGTGTGGAAATTGCACACGGTAGGAGAAAAAGGGTCGAGGAAACATTACAGTAATAAATTATTCATATTGAAAATATCTTCCAAAACGCATAATACGTTACGTTAGGCATCGCATGTGCAAAGCACTGCTAAAAATTACCGAAAGAACCCATATCTACTTAATGGTAAAAACTCTTGCTTTGGTATTTACACAAACAATCTCTGAACGTTCCACTCGAACACATTATTAATGTTGCACATATCTGACATCCAAATTTAAGCTACTTTAGACTTTTGGCACCTGTAAGCGAGTAGGTTAGGGACTGAATAAAGCAATTTTTCGCTCCCTAATCCCTGTTGGCGCTAAACGCAGTCTCTACACCTTTCCCGTTGAAACAGAGCTCTTTTCGATCATAATTTTTAATAATTCATTAGACACGGTCTAGAAGATGTAGCGTAGAAACAATACTTCGATCCCAAAAGGTACCAAGATGCCCAGAATTGTCCTGGGAGCACCTAAAGGATGCATATGCGTAGGTACAATACGAGAGCACGATTTACCAGAAACTTCTCATCTTGATGCCGCTAAGTGACTATACCACAAATCCTCAAAAGTAGATCGATTTTTTACGCAATGCGTACCCTGCTACTTTTCACTAGTCAACTAGACTTTAAACGGCAATCCCAATTGATTTGCGCGCTTTACCATTGACGCTTTTGTTGAATCAAATTTCAGTATGAGAAGGGAAAACCTTCCGTTTTGGATTTAATCGAGCTACATTTCCTCCTGGAGAGCCGAACGCTTCGCATGTATAAAACATTAAACATGTCAACAAACGTAAGGAGCGCCTCGCGAACCTCTTTGTCGCGTAATTCAAACAACTCATGGTTTTGTTAGCCCATTCTCGGTGATGGAAATTTTATGCCCTTTTTTTGCCAGTAAATAAAACGCGAGAAGAGATCTGAAACAGCTGGAGGAGGGCACTGTTTGTCGTTTGAATTCCCTTCGAAGGGAACAAGCGCTCAAGCACCCAAATCCTATCATCTCATCTTAAGCTATACATTCAAAAGCGAATTTAGCCTTGACGATTCGCGGCGAAATACCTCAATTAGTCGGGAAAAAAAAAAATACAAATTTGCTTCGCTGACTTCCACTCGCTCGTTGAAGGCATTCAGGTCGGCTCGTAAGGAAATGGTGTGTGCAGGTGGCTAAAGTGCTGCCAGAAGTCGCTTGATTTAACAACAAACATTAGGTTTTGCGTAAAGGACAATTGAGCAAGAATGCCCAATTTTTGCAAAATAGGGTTGGTTTAAAATACTTCTACCTCTAGAAAGTGGCAAATAAAACTGTTCTTAGTTGTCTGAGATTAAAATAACCGAGAAATTACTCACCTAAAGAACGCACCTTCTACCAAACCGACTTTGCGTACAGATTACAGCCACAAACGAAGGTAAGACCGTGACTCTATGACGTCACAGAGAATTTGACGCATGCGTGTAAAACGGCAATCTCGCGCGATGGAAGAATCACGCGAAAGATGGCAGTCAAGCGAAAAAGAACGAAAACTTTACGATGCTGTAATCTGAACATTCAAAAGCAAAGCTTTCCCGTCAAACAATAGGGGATTTTATTAATAAGAGCAGCATTAAATTATGTTTTAGAAATCGTGCAGTTGACAATTCCAAATGTTTAACTCATTCATAGATTTTGACAAACAACAATATTAAGGGCGATCAAAAATAAAGTCTCCATAGAAATTCTCCTGCAGGCATTTCGTTTCGACTGAAGCCTCCAGCTTCCATACAAGTCAATTAGTTGTAGACGAACAAACTTAGGAAGAATTCCCATCAGCTTTGTAAAAATTGGGGTGAATTTCGTTCGACTTCTATTGTTTATGTACAAATAAAGAGTCACTGTTCAATTTTTATTTCGGGTTTTTTAAAAGTATCATTGATAAGCATCCATCTGGTTTTGTTTCAGTTTATAATTAAGGCAAGCTATAAACATGATAAAATACTCGCTACACGACTCCTGAAGTAAATCTATGATAAAGAACTTTTTTTTTTACATTGTGCAGTGTGCGATCGAAATTGAAATGTAGACGAGTCGTACATTTACAACAAAAATTAAATTACCTTTTTCATCGGTTGTGTTTGTTAATTTTTAAAAGGAGTTCACTTCACTCAAAGTATGTGATTAAAACATGTTCGCGTTGTCTGCACGTTTGCCTCGATCTAATATTGAAAATGACCACCTGGCCAGCTCCAAAAAGGTAATCTGCGATCTGTTTTTGTCGTCAACAAAGAAAATATTGTTATGCCTGGAGGTCTGTCAAATATTAAAATTTGTCGAAAACGGACAAAAAGAGGAAATTCAGTTATCAGATTACTGTGCGATTTTCGCTTTTACATCGGCTGATCAGCGAATTGATACTCAAGGGAGGAAAAAGGAAACGATTTTTATTAGAACTTGGCTAGCAAAATTGGCTAGCGGTAGGGCACTGTCTGCAAGACTCGTTCGTGCAATATTTGATGACCCCGAGGGAAAATCTTGTCGTTCGCCCACTCCTGCCCGCCCAACAACAAAAAATATTGTATAGGTTAAATTCCTTGTGGCTTCCACCGATTTAAGAAGCTTTGGACTAAGGACTAACGGAAAATTCACTTGATGGAGTAGAAACAAATCGGTATTTAAGTGAAGACGGATGTATACACATAAGTCTGTAAATACATTTTATCGTGAATTCATTTCTGTTTTAATCATTATTAAATGCAAATTCGCAAGCACTTAGAAGTTATCTACGTTTGGTGTCAAATATGCATTTGCGCAAATTTTTTGTAAGATTTTATCGAGAAAGGTGCTGAGGTAATTAATTTTGGAATTGAAGAGACCTTGAGCATATTTAATTAATACGTGTGTGTGTCAAACCGTGGCACGTAGAAACTTCTATCAAATTCGCGTAGGAGCGAATTTTTTCCCGCAAAGCTTTCTCCATAAAGCAAAGAAACGATTCAATTTAAAGAGAGATCAGTATGAGATGCAAAGTTAATTACACTCTGTTAATTAAAACGGAGAGAGAGTCATTTATTTGGAAAATAAACACAATTGGGAGTTTTCTCAGTAAGTGTTGTTGGAGAAAAAATATCCTGCCTTGTTAAAGAGATACCGGCAAGTTTCTCACAACTTAATTGGGCTAAATTTAGAGGCAATCACCGTGTTAGAATTAAAATATTTAAATGCAAACAATACTCGGACTATGATAAATTTCAACCCTTTCCAAAGTTTGTTTCCTTTAAAAGTGTTTTTAGAACATTGAATGACGTTTGAATGACGTGAAGAAGACTAAAAGGAGTTTCCAGATTGCTTTGATTTTCCCAAGTTGACGTCAGAGAACACCTCTCGTATCTCTTTTTACGTTCCTAAATGTCAGCAAATGTTTTCAAAACATTAGGTCAACAAATAAAGATCATTTCCCCAGCCCATTTAGTATGTTATTAATGAAAGACAGACACGCACGTTATTCGATCCAAAATTACATGAATGATACTCTCATTACTGTCATTGTAGGAAAGATCCATCATTCAAATCGGGAGGAAGCACTCAGAATAGAGCAGAGACTTTTAAATTAGGACTTACACGTAACCATCTAAAATCAGATGGAGCCCTTCAAAATCGCCCAAAACAGTCTAAAATCAGTTAGAAATTTTGACAGCTTTGAAGAAAATCGAACAGGACCGGCAAAAGTCTGGGGCAACTCTCCGAAGTCAGAGGGAACCATCCGACGTAAATCGAACGAAAATTTCGCAACCCTTAAACTCCTTGAGTGACCACGACACAATTTCTCCTTACTACATCAATATGATATCAAGCAGACGAGTGATGAGGATAAAGCAAAATATAATTCAAAGGAGTTTAGTTGATCCAATGCCAAATTCTCCGAATCAACATCACAAAAATTATATGTTAAAGAGTGGGGAGAATTACTGATGAGATCTTGGTAGTGAAAGAATGAAATGGGACGGAAATGTCTTAATATTGGGATGGCGTTTTGTTTGTCAAACAAGAATGGAACTGTCACAAAATCTCCCTTTAGCAACTAGCTTGTTTTTTCCCCTGCATTCTGAAAAGGTCACATACATGTTTCCCCGCACATGGCACACGTTTCATGTTTCCCCACACTCAAGGTTATTATAATCTTTTCCGCCCTTTGCGCTTTGAGTCAAACGCGATTAACCTAGTCCTCGCCTTGATTAGAGTGGAATTTTAAATTTTAATACTATGTTACTTATCAATTAACTCTCTCAAAATACAAGTTTTGTCCACCGATTCCACTTTGATTAACGCGATATTCTGAAAATGTCCGTGGTAAAATACCATGTGCTAAAAGAAGATTAATTGGATTGGGTGATTAACTCTTGTTAACATAAAGCGGCTTTTTTAAGATCCGTAACTGTTTTACAAGACTATCATTCGCTTCCGATTTAGAACAAACTGGCGAATAAAAAATTAACGGACGGCGACAAAAAAACCCATCTTTGATATCAGAGTAGCTTGTTCCATGCCCTTAGTCAATGGAGGGAGAGGTAGTCGCTCTTGCACTGATGGGGTGGGCGATAGACTAACAGCGGTTAGTCGTAAAGTTGTGTGGGAAACGGGTGCGTGCGCTCGCTTTTTCGCTCGTCTCCGCTGACCGCAGGCCTGCCTCAAGTTAATATCGAAAGAAAAACGAAATAGCAGTTGAGAGCACCACTGAAATGAGTGAGAGAGGTTTAATCGTAGTCGGCGTTCAGGGTCCGTAATACTTTCTTAGCTTATTCATTCCCATTGTTGAGTAACTAAACATAATTTCAAGTGCAACAACAGTTTCGAGAATGTTTGTAGTTTCTCGCCGATCTGATCCCGATGTGTTCCGAAAGGGCAACGAAGGTGTTTCGGAGTTAAGAGTAGTGCAAGTGTCAAGCTATCTTCAGGAAGGAGGTATTAAACCCATCTCCTCGATGTTTGGCAACCAGTTCTAGAAGTTTTTGCTTCTTCTGCATGCTGTGGGATGATTCAAGTTCGTAAATGGCACAGAGGTTAAAGAGTAGCCCTTCCTGAAGATTTGTTTCAGGGTCTTTCCAGATGATCCTCTCCAGTAAAGAAAGCGCCTGAAAAAGACAACCATAGAATAAAAAAGGATTGAACTATCTTCAGTTACAGGAAAACACCTCTTTGCATAACTTTCTGAGTTCTGTGATTGGATTCACTTTTGAGCTCTTCTAACAATCAAAATAAACATCATCATTTTCCCAGTCAATCAAGAGAAAAATTTAGGTCGATTATTGGTCGAGCTCTCGCCTTTCTTGCGTTTGTAGATGGCTGCCGTTTTGTCTAGCTCTTCACCCAACTGTGAATATTTATTAAAACTGATTCTGTGGCAACATTGCAACTTAGGGAAAGTGGGTGCATGGCGTTGTCTGATCAAATGTCGCAACCACGCTCGTTGCTTTTAGCGTGCTCTCATTTGAACAGATTGAAAACTTTCAGGTGGCATAAACAAATTAGAATCGGCAAAATCATGCATTTCTTGTTTCAAAACGGGAGCAACCGTGCACGTTTCGTTCGGCGACTGGAGGTTGATTACAAAATCATTTTTATCAAGTTACAATGGATTCAAGGAAATAACAGCGAATGAAAGCCATCGTTTAAGAAAACAGAGAAACATCACAGTTTTAAAACGCACTATAGCGATGTGTTTTTGGAAGGTAATAAACTAAATGGTATGTCAGACTTGCCTCTTTAAGTTTGCCAAGAAATAGCAAACAAACAGCTACATTGTTGATAGCCTGCGCACAAAAGAAAAGAAAATAACCAAAATAATCTCAAGGTTAAAAAGAAAACTACAGTAATATTTAAAACCAAGACAATAAAAATCTAAGACTGAAATGCGAGACTGGAACAGGATGCAAAAGACTGAGGCCGAAGTGAAATTCGCTCTAGTAGTTTCTAAAAATTCCTACGAACACTTACCACAGAACTATATGGATCTAGTTTAGTAGCAGCTACAAAATGTCTGTGAGCTTCATCGTATGATCCTGCAGATAACGCAAGCAAGCCTCTGTTCGGGAAAAAGAAGAGCTTTGAGACAGCAACAATAACCTCTCCCACTTTGGAAGGAATTAACTGTGTTTGTGCATTCAACGCTTGGAATTAAACCGTTTTTTTCCTCGAAAGTTCTCATCTTCTTTGTTTGTTCTGTGTCTTAACTCTTTTTTTCTCCAAGGGTAAGCATCTTATTTCTCCCAACAGAGTTATTGTGGGTGGTTATGGTCATGAGAATGAAAGGAAATGATCGCAAACTTAAGAATCCCTTGATTGTTGGACAAATTCTCCTTGTAAGCAGCATAAGAAATTTATAAAAAACAGTACCGAGAGCAAAAAGTTAATGATCGAGTCGTCTATGCAACTTCACCATTCTAAACTTTACTAACGCGGATCACCTACACCTATCAAACTCTGGTTGAAAATCAACTTTTCCCGCCGACACAGCACAAAAGTATCATTCACAAGCAGGAATTCCCGACGGAGCAAGAAACGAAGGGAGACCAGAATCAAACTAGTACCAAAAAAAATCCAAAGTGAGCACCTACTTATTCATGACTACACTGCTAAGTGAGTTTGGGTCACCAGTTGCTTTTGATTCCACCTGCTTGAAATAACTCTGTGCCGTTTCCAAGTCTCCAAGCTGTAAACAAACATCATATAAGGTAACATCCAACAGTTTCGAGATTAAAAAGAATTTCTCAAGTTTTGTTTCAATACATTCTGTGATCGCTCAAGAAACTCGCGGATCATCTCATCCAATCGAGTGAAAAGACCTGGTAGCGACTTCGTCACTCACGTTTTCCCGCGGTTAAGTCTACAGACTATCCCGCCTTTTTCTCATTGGCTACTTGTGGTATTTCTCATTGATCTAATAGGCTGGTACTACTTAGGTTTTATTTCATAGACACTCGGTAATTGGTTAAGTAAACCAGTGCACCCTCTCAGCCAATCGGATGAAAAACTTTTAACGGTGGCGACGCGGTCGCCAACGTTTTCCCGCGGTTCAGTGAGTTTGCTAAAGAGCCATTGTGATTACATCGGAATACTCTACTGAAATGAGTCTAAGGTTACAGCCTTAAATATGAAAGAAAAATAAATAGAAACTTCACATGGCTTACCTGTAAGTAGATTCTTCCTATCCCAGATAACAAGTTGAATTCACATGAAGGATCTTTATCCATAATAGACTTGAACACTGTCACAGCTAAACTGTAATCCTGCCGGTTTTAAAATATTGTAAATACATAGCTAGCTCTGTTTTTTTGTCTTCTTCTTTCTTAGCTGTCCCACGATCAACCCTGGAGGCATCTCGAATGAGTGCTGCAAAACCGAAACCTTTGGAATCACAAGAACCAATCAAAGCAAAGGGAAAAAAAAACAAGCAGCCAATAAAAGCTTAAAGTTAAAACCAGCAAACTGCCTAAAGCGCGGAAAATGAGAGAGGCTAAGATTTAAAAAAAGGGGCTACTCGATATGAATTATTTCTCCTCAACAAAAGATACAAAAGAGAAATTTAGCTCATCTTACCTTCATGCCAAGAAAACAGTTTCCTATCGAATAAAGAACGCGCACCTCTCTGGTGATCCACAATTCAATAGCAGCTGAAAAAATCGAACTCACAAAATTACTAAATGACTTGTTTCTGTTATTGGGCGCTTTTACATTACGCGTAGTAATAACGAAACCAAAGTAACCACATAGGCGCTTCTGCGCAGAGGTGGTTGATACAAGGAGCCAACGAGAACTTAACCCTTAAACCCCTTAAGTGTTTGGCTTCTAATCTCTCCTTACAGTTTCACCCTTAAATCAAATGTAAAGGTCATGAGAATATAGGAAATGATCACCAACCAAAGAAGCTCCTACATGTTAGACATGTTCTCCTTTTCAACACCTTAGGAATATGGGGAGAGCTGTATGGAGAATATAAATGCTAATGTGAGCGGAAAGGGTTTTAAATTAATGGCTTAGAGGGCAGGAAAACACAACAAACAAAGTTGCGATTTTTCCCTCTCAGTTTTGCATCCAATTAGTTGAGAGGCTGGCGCAAGTTTTCTAGATTAATTAAAGAGCAAAGGCGCAGTGAAGTAAAACCAAATTAGTTATCCCGTATCACTTTCGACACTCAGTTTTCGATACTCAGCTTTCGATACTCAGCTTTCGATACTCAGCTTTCGATACTCAGCTTGCGATACTCAGCTTTCGATACTCAGCTTTCGATATTCAGCTTTCGATACTCAGCTTTCGGTACCCAGCTTTTAACTCTAGATTGAACATTTCTATTTCGTGGGATGTGGGATTTACTTTACCCAATCTGTTCTCGGGTGTCATCTCTCCCTGGCCACCATCCTCGGTCAGATTGTCCTGCAAGTTTTTCTGAATCCTACTACATTTCCTTTGCAGCTCATACAGGTTGTCTAGGGCATCCTTTGGTCGGCCCATATACTGAGGTAGTTCTGCATGCAAAACCCTCAAGGAAAATGGTACCATAGACCCTGAAAACGAAAAAAGGAAGAGGGTAAACATCTCGCTTTGCACAGAAGTCAGCTCTAAAGCTCTGCAAACGAGAGGTCCTGCATACAGTGTAGCTGAGAACCTTACCTCACCTCCTGAAAAACGTGTGAAACTCATGAAAAGGTATCACTGAGACACATACCTTTTCTTCCAGGATATGTATCAGGGTAAAACTCATAAAACAGGTCAGGCTGGTTAAAACTCCCAAAGGCTTCTAATTCAACCTCAGCAGTACTAAACATCTGTAGCTTGAACATAAGAGCTATTCTACAAAACCAAACCTGTAGGTAGATGACAAGAAGACCAGCTCATCAGTGAGACCACAAACTAACCCCCCCCCCCCCACATCCCCTCATTCACCAAACTCATAGAAAAACATTATTCCATGAATTAAATTCCCTTCTTATGAAAATATCAATGGACAAGAAAAGATGACAACTGACAGGAGAGGGAAACATACAAAACCATTCAAGAAATGATGCATGGGACTTAATCAACATCTGATACAAAATTTTAATTTCATTACATGGTGTTTGGTGCATCTTACTCATATCATTATCATCATTATCATCAATATCATCACTGCCATTATTGCAAAGCAGATATATATTGAGTTAGATAAAGGGAATTCAAGGGAAAAAACAGGAGAAACAAAAGGAGGAGGGGTAACTTCTTGGCATCTGTTTGTGACTATTTTTATTCAAGAATTTTGTAATTTTTCTACAGGCTTTCCCTAAGGGGTAGAAGGAGAATGTGCAAAATGGGAGGTGATTCATTCCCATAAACATTACTCCTAGTCTATACCTGTAAGGTCTTGTGAGTGTGTAAAGCTCTCTGACCCTTCTGTCCCACACCCTGGCCATGTGCTGTCAAGAACCTGGTGGTAAATTCAAGAGCTGCTCGCCAGCACTGTTGTCTCTGAAAGGGGATTGGGATCATGACACAAATTCAACAATATCTACTTTACAATCAAAAAAGGGTACTAGGAAAGACAATGAAAGGTAGTTCAACTTGCTTAGCAGAGAACTGACACTTGGCAACTGACTTATGCAGCTAGAGTTATCTTATAATTACTGACCAGGATCAACTATCTAACTTGACAACAAACTCCAGCTAAGCCCTCTGGTATGAATAAGTTGCTACAAACACTTTATGAGTGTATACCAACTCGGTGTATACCAAAATTTGGATGATATGCAGGTTCTGGATGCAAAAGTTGTGAACTCTTGCAGATGGGTTTCTTTCACCCACCAGTAATTCTCTGAGCCCAGACTCATCCAATGGAACACTGTCAACACTCAATGTCTTTCTATTTTCTGCATCCTGTTCACCCATAAACTTTGACATCAGCTCCTTCACAGGGTCCACCTAAAAAGTAAATATGATTTAAGCTTTATGAGTATGGGCCATTAAAAGCTGCCTTGCTTAAAAGGAAAGTGGGTGCTTGAGGTATCCAAGAGCTTCCACTGTCTCCAGCCAGCCCCCAAGAAGAAAACTGCCTCCATGACTGGCAAATCCCAAGAACCCAGCCGCAAGCCCCTATTCCAAGCACCCATTGACAATGCTTAGATAGGTAGAAGATAAAAAGGGGGTGCCTTAGGATGGGGGAAGTGCCTAGAGACAAACTCTACAAAACTGCTCAGGACTGCTAGAAGCAACAGCTATAAAACTACATATGAACTCTAAGGTTCAGCTGAAATGAATTGCAATATTCCACCTTTACCTTCACTTGTGACTGATGATCAGAAGGGACATGCTAAAGTTGTGGGCATAAATTTCAGTAAATTGTCATTTAACTAAATCACATAATGATAAAGAAACACTCCATCAAAAACAAAAACCTACCTGTGGACCTTCAATAACCAATCCAGGAGATGTTAAGAACTGTTGATCCACATCTGCAGGGTTCAGCATACCTGATCCAATGGTGACCAGAAACTGATTAGTCTGGGGTGTTGCTATCCATGCTGAGGATCTTCTCTCAGCTTCAGTTTGTTTGCTTCTCACCCACTCTCCTTCAGGGGTAGGTGGTGCTGAAGGAAGCTTTTGTTCCTTAGTAATTTCAAGTTTGAGATTGGATGATTCCTGGTTTTGCATGGCATTTAGAGGATCATCATGGGCCACTGAAGTTTGACTGAGAATTGGGGCAACAGGTGGCATGGGCGTTTCAGCCCCTTGGAACGGAGGCCACTGTTCTGAGTCTTGTTGTATTGTGTCCTGATTGTTCACCACCTTAAAACCCAAATCCCCTTGAGCTGGTTCAGGTGCTGATTGTTTTTCAGAAGGTTGATGAATTGGCTCTGAGAATACAACTGATGGTGGAAAAGTTTGTCCCCCTATTTGTGAAAATGGGTCAGAAGCAGCTGGGGCAACAAGAGAATCAAAGAAGCTGTGTCCTTCTGCATCACCACTAGTGCTGGTGTTTGAAGAAAATAAGTCACTTAGGGTACGGTTGTCACTCTGCTCAGATGGTACACCCTGAATTTCCACACTCTGAACAGATTCATCAGACAATATGCTAGTAAACTTTGTTTTAGTAGGACTTGCTTCTGGTGAGCTTTCATTCATCCACTGACCCTCTGGAAAACAAATTTAGATCAATGTCAGTAACTGAGCACCTGCACACCTACTCCTCCCCTAATCCAACATTAACCCTAGCTTGTTATCAGGTGACTGTTATTGGGTTAGGGGAGGGGTAGGTGCACAGTTTTTGAGATAATGACATTGATCCACAAATTCAATAACTCTCACTTTTATCCCACATGACTTCATCCACCTGTCCATAAATAAGCATAGCTGAAGGGGAGAGGGTCCTTAGGTGCCAATGGTCATTTCACATGGAAATTTCAAGCTCATTATGTTCCTAGTTGGGGATGATGGACTAGATACAATCCCAATCAGCTACCTAACATGTACTGGTATGATATAAGAGTCCGATGAGGGAGGAAGGAGTAATGAGAAAGGGAAGTCTTAGACTCTGCCTTCTCTCTCTTTTACTCAACCCATCTCACTTGACATTGATATGCTGCCCATATTAACCCTTCACACCCTAACATCAGTATGCATTTTCTCCATAATCTTGGGGTAATTCAGGGGTGATATTGTAAGGAGAAATTAGATGCCAGTCACTCTTAAGGGTCAAAGGGTCAACCACCCATTCTGTGGAGGATGACTGAGAATGATTCAGGGTTACCAGGCTCTTTGGATGTCACATCAAAAGATTATTAAATTGGTCATTAAAATCTGCTATATTTCAATAAAACCTTGAAACTTACCCTCTGGACTTGGGCATTGCCAGCCAAACACATTGTCCATTATCTTTGGGTTTCGATAAAGCCAATGTTCAAACTCCTGAGAACACAGATAAAACTGCATAATGTATCAAACTCTTTCAGAATTTTTTCCTTCATAAAATATAGATCAAATGAAAACATCTACATTGTGATGGTGGTCAGAAATGATTGCTTAATGATGTTCATGGTTCAATGCAAAAGTCAGGACACCTGATTACATCAAAGTTTCTTTACAAATTTGCACACTGGGGTATTTGGTATTGACCACATTCAACTAACCTTAGCCGAAAGCTTTCCTGTTTTGGACACATTACAGGTATCAAATGCATCACTGACAATCCTGAAACAGAATTAACTACATGTCATGGTGGTTAAATCAACCAATCAAACACTATGTTGGGTAGCTTGCATTGCTGGTAACATTTCTTCAATTTCCTTAACTCAGGATATTTTTTGCAAAATTGAGGTCTCATCCAAAAACCCTGAAAAATTAAAGGGGGTAAGTTTTCTTAAGAAACCGATGGGGTGAGGGGGAAAAATATTGTTGGAAGATAATGAGTTGATAATGTAAATTGGCTACTGTAAGAGTTTCCAAGGCTGAAGTTTAAGCTATAGCCCTTTGTCATTGCTCTAACACACAACTATTAAATTTTCAGAATCAGGAAAATCTTTTGATTTAAAAAAACCTTGAAACAGTTTCAATCAGTTTGTCTGTATTGTTCCCCTCTGTAGGCTGCTCTGTTTCTTCCACATTGTCCAATATCACATGCGCTGACTCAAGAGAACTTAAGAGAACGGCAGTCAATTCATCTCTGCTAACACCATCATCATCAGACTGCAATCAGAGTAAGAGATCAGATGTGATGGACCTCAGGATGTATGGGACAGAATGAAAGTTTTGTAGGAGTTTTATTTTGAAGGGTGACAATTTTTGTGCTTTGCGAAAAAAAAGACTTGTGGTTTGAGGTGACAAAAATTTCTGCCGGGAGCTTGTGTCTGAAATTTTCTGTTCTAGTAGCACATCATTAACAAGGAAAGGAAGTTAATAATTTAAAATTTTCCAATGTATTGAGTTACCAGTAGGCAAAGGTACAGGGACCTACATGGTCAATGATCCATAGTTAGATATCTTGAGGGACACCAAACACAAAATGTACAAGTTGGCACTTGATTAGCATTCATAGCTTTTTCTTGAACAGAAAACGGCAGTTTTTTGTGGAACTTTATTTTGGGAGATTTTGTTTGTTGCAGGAACCTATTTTGCTTTACAGATCAAGGAAAATCCACCAGTTTTTCTAGAGCACAGTGTAATATGTATGACAAATCAGTACCAGATTGAAGATGTGGAATAGTAATCTGCACTTATCCTTCACTTTCCCATGCAAGCAAAGGGCAATTCCTCCAATAAACTCTTCTAAATCTATAGTACCACTCTGCAAGTAAAACAAAATCAATAATGACTCAGAATGCAATGACTTGCAGCACTTCATCATTATTTTTTTTTTGGTTCTTTCCTCTGCCAAGATACAACTAGGAAAGCCCACATTAAAAAGAAGATAATGTTTTCATCGAAAAATATCTTATTGCTTAGTTTTTAAAACCTTCCCACCCCTCTGGAAATAACAAATCTGTTAGAGCATTTCAATTTTGCAATGCTCCTCACAAATGGCTCTGCATGGGGGTGAGTGAGAACATCATTTTATTTTTACTGCTGGCTGGCAAGATGAATCCATCTTTTCTGCCTAACATTTCCCAAGTAATGAGAGATGAAGCCACAAGAGGCTTGGTACAGAAGAACTGATTACCTCTACCACTCATTTCCATGCCTTCACCTGTCATCACTCATGCATACAAAATTGTGAAGCACACACAAACCCAACAGCTACACAGGCTAAATGTGGAAGGGAGGGGGAAGGCAGGGGGGGTTTTGTCCTAAGACTTTATCTAGTTACTGAAACTCCTTTGGCAAGATCTTTCAGCTGGAAGAGCAAAGAAAGCCTATGAGACACATGGCCCATTGTAACAAAGCTTAACCCCTTCATATCCCAAGATACAATTGGTAATTCTCCCTTCTAACTCCCTTACATTTCCATGCAAAATAGACATGAGAATTTGGCATTATGTTAAGATAACAATTCCTCTCACTGATTGGCTTGTTTTTTCCCATGCCCTGTTTGCAAGCTAACATATTGGAAATATTAGGAGAAACTACATATAGATAACTTCTGGGAGTTAAGGGTTAACCAGACTTTGACAGCATAAAGTAAATTGGAGTATTACAACCACCCTGTGCAGGAACCGGTCCATTGCAGGGTCGCCCCATATCATTTCCTCAAGTTTTTTCATTTTTTTCAAACATATTTATCATTGTTTTTTCCTCAAGTTTCCCTGGCACTTAACTGGCTCACCTGGAAGAGCATTTATTCTTTATATGATTTCAGATATGATACGTAAGTGAGCACATAATCTCCAGCATCATTTGACCCTGACAATAAATAACAGGATTTCAAAACAATAAAAATTAAGTGCTCTACCTCATTTCGATCAAAAGCGTGAAATAGGCGTTCAGCAATAAAGCCAGGCAGCCGGAAGCGTTCAGCAAAATCTTGCCGATTGATCAGAGACAGTTCTACATGTCGCGTTCCATCCTCTCTCTTCGTCGAAATCTCGTTAAACACCGCCTCGATGTTTGCTAGTTCTATGCTGCTTAGTTTCTTCACAGCATTTTTGTAACTTTCCTTAGAGCTTCCCTGGCCCATTTTGTGCCAAATTTGAAAGTAATGTGAACGATTAAGTTCACATCTTTAAGCAATTCGACCAAAATGCAAGGATGTTTTCATGCTAAGATCCAAAATGGCGACTGTATAGTAAAACCGCTGTTGGATCGCGGATTCTATGAGGGCAACCTCAGAGGATCGGCAGAGAGAAATGTAACGCTCGGTAAGAGGACAACAGGTATAAGGTGCGGTTGCGGGATTTTGGTTATTTCCCTTGGGTCTTGCTTATTTTTCTACGAATTGAAGAAGCACCCTTCAAGATAAGGGGAGACTGTTTCTTTAAAATTCTCGTAGCTTTATTGAATGAGAAAGATGACTTCGGACACCAAACCTGCATAGCTGGTGCCTATTTGGAGCCTGGTGAAAATAAATAAAAGGGTAAGTTTCTAAAGAAACTTTGGTGCTGCGTCGGTGGGAGAGTATAGCAGGTAATTTAGTGTTAACAACTGGGTTAAAAACGTAAATTAGCCACCGTAAAGAGTAAAAAAGCTGACGTTTCGAGCGTTAGCCCTTCGTCAATCGCTCTGATGAAGGGCTAACGCTCGAAACGTCAGCTTTTTTACTCTTTACGGTGGCTAATTTACGTTTTCAACCCAGTTGTTAACACTAAATTACCTGCTGGTGAAAATAAAGCCAGCGAAGGAGAAAGCAAGTCATATGGCAAACGTGGGTGCGAAAATCACCGGCCAGTTTTTCTGGCTGACCAGTCAGTAAATGTAAGGCGCCTAAACACTTCTGAAACCAGGTAGGATTCAAAGTCGAGAGCCATTCATACCTTGTCGAGGTCGTGGCTCGATGGGACGAGGGGTTGCGTCAGACCCTTTTCTTATGTGGGAAACTGATAATTCAAATCAAATAAATAAAATAACGTGCTATGCCCAAGTTGCAGATAAAAAATAATTGAAAGGGGGCGGGGGTGGTGTGGTGTGTTTTGCGTACAGTACGATAAAAATTGAAATCAGGTTAATCAAGATTGATTAAACGATTTTAGGAGAAACATGCCAACATTTCCGCCCTATGCAAAGCGAAGTTAGTCATTAAATCGCTCAAGATTTAATGACGAAGCAAGAAATCCAAAACGTGACGCCGCGCAGTTTCCTTGCTAAATATAAACCAATTTAAAAACAAGTCAGCAACTTGTACTGTGACGTTATAAAATCGACATTTGGTGCTGAACACTTGGAGGAGTATGTCAGATTATATTTCTAAAGTAAGAATTTGAGTTTCCTCGTGTGGGTAGAGTTTTTTGAGACCTCGCCTCTGCGCTATTTCCTTTGTGATAATTTCGATCTGTTCATACGAGGCGGAGTGTTACTTGGCCTTCTTGATATCGGTTGCCGTACTATAATTATCCGCTTGCTGAATAAGCGACCTTAGTGTTATAACTAGCTGATATCCCATTTGAACCAAAAAAAATGAGGAAGGTCTTTGTAAACACTACCTGAACTTCACTTACACTGCAGATAAATTGGCCGTATGTAAAAGGAAAAGATAACCCGAATTATTTTGGCTCGCCTTGCTAATGTTGTTGTTTTAGAATCACTTAGGTATGTCCTCTTATTTGGCAAAAAATCGGCGAGGCAAAGAAGATGAGACGTTCCTGATATTTATTATCGTCTGGCAGACTTTCTCAGTGGTGTAAATAGGATTAAAATTTGCTGAGGGCCCGAGGGTGTCTGTGCATACAATTTTAGGAATTTTTATATGTAGGGACTATTCGAAAGTGAACTGTTTATTTTGTGATCAAAGGAGCCTCTCAAGAAGGCAAAAAGCGCAATAAAAGATTATTTTGGAGAAATGACAAAAAAAAAAAAAAAAAACGTAAATGAATTTGCACAACGCATGGCTGGTTTCACCCTATTATTCTCGATGCCACAAACATTTTCCGACAAATTATATTCTGTCTCAGTATAACGTTTGTAATTCACTCATCGCTTAATATATCTGAAAAACACTTGAACTAATATCTTTCAATGGGAATGACTCATTAAGTGAAACCACAAGCCAGATAAGAATGATTTTCTTCTACTTAATCTCCTGAACGACACATTGTTGCATTACAATTTTTTTCTCTCTGTCTCTGTCTTTTCTTTTTCTCTCTATGATCTTCTCCTATCAAGTGACGAGCCCCTCAAAATAGGCGTTTCTGAGTTCTGAGTGTCTTTTGCCACCGGAAGTTAGATTTCAGTCAATCACTCAATGGAGAGCTCTTCTTCTCAACGAGACACTTTTGAATTCAAAATAACCCAGAACAAAGAGGCCGTTCTAAATAAGATCAATATATTGTGATGATAGATTATTGACTTATCTACTGATAAGATTTTTCGTGAATGTTTTGGTCAAGCATCTAAAGAGAACGAGGCGAATCAAAACTATTCTAGGAAATTTCAAGAGATAGCCTGCAGAGAGTAGCGATTTGATCTTTTTTTTTTTAAAGTGAAAGTAGAATTCCGCTATGTCACCAATTGCCATGTATGGTGGCACCTTTGATAATACACTGTTGTAAGGTACGGAAAATAAAGAGACAGGACACTCTTGAGAAAAAAAATCATTTCTGAAATATATCAGTTCGCTTAATGGTGAGTTATCACTGATCATAGCAACTCTTCTCATAGTCAGTAGAAATAACTATGACATGGATTACGAAATTGGAAGGGAAATACGATGCACGGGAGGGTACTCTTTATCAGGTGACTCAGTGGGAGGATACGGAAATACAACAAAGGTCACTTTCGGAAGAGGAAGTAAAGGTCGTCTTTTACTGAGCAACGGTTCTGTAAAGAACCGCCATTTTGCGAAGTAAGGTGGCCCCATAGGTCACGTGACTAAACACCCCCTATTATTCAGTTTCATCCATTTCGAACTTCAGCCATGTTAGAAAGTAATGTCAACAGAGGTTCGGTTTGTAAAAATTCATTGGGTGAAGCAAACTTCTAATCTGTTATATTGAGGCTGAATGTCTCTATTTCAATGCATTTGGCTGGAGAAGGAATGAAGTCTGCTTCTGGTGGATAGTTTTGTGTTGGAATTGTAAAGAGCTTTGGCAGCGAGCATCATGGACGAACGAAAGAGGAGGGAAAATCTCGAGACTTACGTTCGAGATCCTCGGAATGAACTGTACATTGAAGGGCTTTTGGTGAGTTAATGGCTGCTTTATTCAACTGTCGCACTGTCAGGTGACTCAAGATATTACTTTGCTCTGTTTTGCCAGGATGGAATTCAGTCGCTGGTGTGCGATTGTGATTTTCCGGCCCTGAGACGCAATAAGAATGTCGAAAACTTCCTACAAAGATGTGAGTTGCTTTGGCATCCTAATATTTGCTAACGGTTTTTGAGAGGTACATACTAAGATTGATTTAATTGTTTTTCAGATGAGAAACCTAGTAAAGTAATCGAAGAATGTCGTATGAATGCAAGCGACTTCAAGGTCGTAAAAGTCATCGGCCGTGGTGCTTTCGGTGAAGTTCAGTTGGTAGGTTACTCATCCTGTACTTTCGAGCTTATGAGTGACAATTATCCCTCTTAAGGGCAAATGTTGCCATTAGATGTTGATTAATTTCTTAGCTTTTTAACTACGAAGTGCATTCACGAGTTCTGCCTCTTGATATATGCAATTTCCTTTGCTAATGCGACAGCAGATGAATTACTTGAAACTGCACGAGATACGCGAACATTTAACAGTACCGTGCTATCAAATACGGGCTTTATCATTCGAGCTGTTTCGTTTGTCGTTAAAATAGAAACCTAATGTTTTATTCTATACACTTTTCAGGTGAGGCACAAAGCATCGAAAAAAGTATATGCGATGAAACTTTTAAGCAAATTTGAAATGGTAAGCAAGCCAGACATGTAATCGCTTAAAATACTACAGGTATCCTGTTCAAACTTCTATTTCTGTATTTTAGCTAGCTAAAAATTGTAGACAGCAGATAGTTTTTTTTGGCAAGGAGGAAAACATAAAAAAAAATTATAGCTAAGAAAAACTACTGCACTATGAAGACACTGGAATACATCGCGTCAACACCACATCTACAAACTTTTAATCTAAGGTCAGTCGACAGTTCGAAGTTGTACAAATTGTAAATCATCACTATTGTTTCCAACATTCTTTATGGGTATGAGAGTTTAATTCTTGATGTGTGCCCTTTCCTTTGAGGTCATATGTTCCTTTTTTAAGTTGTGTCTTTTTCTCGAACTGTTACCAATTTGTGAATCTCGCTGTTGGACTTTTTTCATTCCGATGTACCCATTTCTGAATGTACACATAAGCCATAGCTTTGATTCTCTTCAAGGACTTTGGCAGCTGAACTGTTTTTTCCTGCTCGATTCTTGACGGATCTCTCGTACAGCAACCATAAATTAACTTCTTGATGTTTAACATAGACATTGACATGCACCAAGATACAAACAAATTAGCGACAAAATCACCCTTGGTTTAATTCCTTAAATACCTTGGATAAATTGGCAATGTTGATCTATACTCATTTACTGTTTACTTTGTGGCTGTGTTCTCACCATGTTAAGCCTTAGTTATGTATGTAGCCTTCTTTCCTTTCAAATGCTGCCTTATTAATTTCTAGCCTTTAACAATGTTTTTCACTCACTATAAGGGTATAAAATACAGTACATGCAAATCAAAAAAGGAAAAAATAAACTTAGTCAGCTCACTATTTCTGTTCAATAATGTTTTGTTAGTGCACCAAGCATGTGTTCTACATTGCAAATGCATCAGTCATACTTTTTAATTCTCAAGGACTATCTATCATAAATCTTAAATGGCAACTGCCATATTTTTGTAAACAATGATAAAACTCAAGAGCAATCTAAGTTACCCAAGATGTTCCTGTTATAGAGTTTTGCATCATGCCAACTTTTGAATTAATTTCCTTTTGCTGCGTTGGAGAAAAAACTATTTGTTTTGTTTGATGGGCCTAACTTTCCTTCTCTTTAAAAGTTCAGTTAAGTAGCTATGGTAGTTAATACATTATTTTCTGGAAATTATTGAAATACCATTTGCCAAACATTAAAAACTTTTTCTGTTTCCTCAGGCAGAGGAGCTAGTTTCTGGCTTAGGCTTTTGTTCACCTGTTTTTTTTTTCCTAACAGATCAAGAGATCTGATTCAGCTTTTTTTTGGGAAGAGCGTGAAATTATGGCTCATACCATCAGCCCATGGATTGTGAAGGTTAGTAGACACATATCCACTTGTGCTCAGATGCTCATAAAGATAAAATCTGGACAAGGTCTTACCATGTGAAAAGCATGAGGAAGGTCTATGAAAAGAATGTGAATTATGTGATCCTATACACATTGTTTTCACATGCTCTACATTCTTTTCTTGAAGCCTGCATTTGAAAAAGTCTGGACTCTTGCATGTGCATTAGTGCCTTGAGGGCGATTTGTCCCTCAAGTTAAACAGCTGCCAATCTCTAACTCAGAACCCTCCTTTGGGATGCCATAGAAATGACCTGTTTAATTTGTTTCAAATAAACTTTGCAAATGTTGTCTTCAACTGTAAAGATATGTCATAAATTGGAAGAATTGCACTGAGTTTTTTATTTTGTCAAAAATAAGTTGGAGTTCAATGGAACTAGTGCTGAGTGAAAATCTATTTCCTCTAAATTTCCTAACAAAAATAAATTAAGGATATTCCTGATAGAAATGCGTTACAATCTGTGACAACAATGTTCCAGACAACTGCTAAAGAGTGCCCAATGTAAAATCAGTAGTAAACCCACCAGTCCTCCCTCCCTCTCTCCCTTCCTTTGCTCCCCTTTGGTGCCCTCCCCCCCCCCCTCCATTAAAATACAAGTATTTTTAGGGTGGTTGTGAAAAGGATAGATGTTCCAAAGATTTTATTTTAATGACTCAACCAACTTGTGAACTTATTTTTTTCAATCTTTTTTCTTTTTAGTTACATTTTGCTTTTCAAGATGCTAAAAATTTGTATATGGTTATGGATTACATGGCTGGTGAGTGAAACATATACTGTTAATGTTATAAATTATGCTGGTAGTTCCTGAATGAGTGTATATCCTTGGTGTCAATGTGAGAATTTCTTGCTTCTATGAAAGAACATTTCACTATGTTTGATGAATAAGAGAGACTTCTCTCAGAGAAATTAGATTGGCCGAATGCTTAAGTCTAAATTTTAGCTAGAAAAATGCTAGATAAAGTGATGGATACCATATTCTATAAACTAATTTACAGAAAGGTTTAATACAGTTTTTAGTGAGAATTAATAATTAAGATCTCAGGAGTTTAACCCTTTAACTCCCAAGATGTGATTGTTAATTCTCCCCTCTAGCCACACATTCCCTTCTAAAATGTTTGTGAGAATTTGGTTTTAGATCAAAATAACAACTTATGCCTGATAAGTTTGAGCATTCCCATCACCTGTTTGCTAGATGATGTATGGATATTGTAGGGAGAAGTTACATGCTAATCACCTCTGGGATTTAAAGGGTTAGGAGTAAAAAGGTACTTTAGTGGGGGTGTCTGCCTTCCCAAGCTTGTTTTGGTAATGATGAATTTTGTGGCATTGGTTTTGAAATTCAGAAAGGAAAAAAAAATATACTGTCTAATGAAGAATTTTTAATCAGAAAATTTGTTATCTTTGTAGGAGGGGATTTGGTTAATCTTATGAGTAACTACGACATTCCTGAAAAGTGGGCCAAGTTCTACGGTGCTGAAGTGGTGTTAGCACTTGATGCTATTCACAGCATGGGGTTCATTCACAGGTATTGTCAGAAGGTTTGATCATTTAGTAGGATTGTTGCTCAGTGTCAGAAATTTCATGATTGTTACATAACATAATCTGACGAATTAGCTTAAATCTTGATGTAGTGATTGTTGTAGGAAATGGGAAAGAGGATGATCCTGTCCATAGCTTGTCATAGACATTTTGATTCTTTTTCTTTTTCTTTTTTTTTAACTTTATTGCTCAAATAACTAAAATCATCTGTCATGACTTTTAGTGTAATTGTCTAAAAATTGTCTTTTTATGTTTTTATTCTCATGCAGGGATGTAAAACCCGACAACATGCTTCTGGATAAACAAGGTCACCTCAAGCTTGCAGATTTTGGAACATGTATGAGAATGGACAAGGTACAAGTTACTAGTACTTCATTTTGACTTGCTTTGGGTAAAAGGAGAGTTTCAAAGTAGGCAGCTGCATTGATGATGTTAGCAACCAGCATCAGAGATACAAACCTACAACTGAGCATGGGAGCTCTAAAATATGCTACTTTTTGTAATCTATAGGTTTTTTCCTCTCTTAATTACAGTACATCAAGAGTTGATCTTAAGGTTCTCTGTAGAAAGGAGTCATTAAATTTATTCATTCCATTAATCAACCCAGTTGAGTTTTATTCACTTTGTTTGAATCCAAAAGGGGGTGTTATTTCAAGAATTGATTCTTCTCTTTCTCTTGAACAACTGCTAAGCAGGTCAGCCAGCCAGTTTCTTTAAGACACTTTGTAAACTTTGAAAAATTGTCTTGTAGGATGGAATGGTAAGATCAGACACAGCTGTTGGTACACCAGATTACATCTCTCCAGAGGTAGGAAAAATGGCAAACAATAAAGCAGGTTGTACAGCTCTGTTGAACTAAGAAACTGAGGTCTATTTTTTCCACCAGGTTCTCAAATCCCAAGGTGGTGAAGGCTATTATGGCCGTGAATGTGACTGGTGGAGTGTTGGGGTATTCTTATACGAGTTACTAATTGGTAGGTTTTGTATAATTTTATAAATACTTTTCTGTTACAAGAATTTAAATGTTTTATACCTTCTTGCCAGCTCTGCCCATAGCCCTTTCAGCAAGATCTCAACTTTTGAAAATATTGCACAAACTTCATTGTCAGATAGATAGATGAGAAGCTTGCATTAGTTGTAGACACTTCAAATAGGTTTTTAGTTTTTCTTTGGATCTTTGATCATTCTTTCCTTGTGTTGAATTTCAAATTTTTTCAGGTGACACTCCATTTTATGCTGACTCACTCGTAGGAACCTATGGTATGTCAATTTTTTCATTCAGTTGTTTTCAATACCAACCTTGCAAATGAGGGTTTGGTGTCAGATCTCTGCTGGTCTACTTGATCTTGCCATGCTTGTCAGAAGGAAATTTGAGTCCTTGAGACTACTGTAGATTGGTTTTTGGATGGTCTCTGACTCAAACTTCCATCCTGTGCTCATTGGAAAGAACACAGAAAACAAACTTGAGACCATCCGAGAATCAAACTTTGCACATCCAGGCCATTTCTGTGAAAATGAAATTCCCTGCCATTTTTACCTGGAAAAGCACTTTTGAAGTTTTGGACTTGTCAGTGTGGCACTTACTTGGGAAAAAGGCTTAGTTGGGGGTGGTATTTAGTTTAAATTTTCATTTGCAACAAGCTTAGTTTACAATGCCATCTTTTTTAAACCATCAATGATATCAACAGTCAAATAACTTATGGATGACAAAGTCAGTTCTTTCTTTTTTTGTGTGGTTGGTGTTTGATTGTAGCAAAAGTAAGGTACAGTTGCAACTCCAGGTAATTTCTTCCCTATATGGTATTTGCTTGAGCAATTTTTATTCAATTTTTTTCAGGAAAAATTATGGATCACAAAAACTCACTACAGTTTCCAGATGACATTGAGATTTCAAAAGAAGCCAAGCATTTAATTTGTAGTTTTCTTACTGACAGGTAATCTGTTGGCATAAGTTTCTGAAGAATATCCATTCTCTTAAGACCAAAGGAATTCCTCTTTAAAATCACCTTTTAGCTGTCAATTATTGAAGGGAAAATCACTTTGGAGCATGCAGTGGCAGTAACACTTAGAAAGCTTGTCTCTGGGTCTAAAAGTTTTGGGTTAGGCCCTCACTGAGGCCTTTTTGTCAGACTTGTACAGCATCCCCCCCTCTCCACTCAGGAGTATAGATGTATCCCAGTAAACTGCAAGGAGAACCCAATAGTATGGTTAGGAAGGGAGGGGGAAGTAATCCATGATGGAATAGTATTCCATCCACCCTATATTCTTAGTTTTTTTCATGCCATGAAAACCTTATGACCATACATGATTAGAACTTCATCCATATGTATTGAGTATTGATTTTGTTAAAGAAAATTACTGAATGTCATATTCCTTGCCATGCACCTCAAAAATAAAAATTCACTCTAATTAGATTTTCTTTAAAACTGCAATTCCTCTAGCCGAACAGCACTCCACCAGAATTTTACAAATTACATCAACTGGTTTTATTGCAGCTATTTTCTTTGAAGGAGTTGCATTGCCAGACAGTTTGATTTGAAACTGATTCTAACCACATGTGTTAATTATTTGTAGAACACAAAGAATTGGTCAGAAAGGAATAGCAGAAATACAAAAACATAAATTTTTTGTCAATGACCAGTGGGAATGGGATACCATCAGAGAGGGTAATTGTTGTAATCAATATTTAATTAATATCTGATTTATAATCAACACTTTAACAAATGTTATTGCCATAAAGAATCTAATTATCTCCCTCTTCATTGTTTAAGCTACTGGTCTCTAACTTCAAATTTTAATCAGCTTTCCTTTTTCCTCACCTTGTTAAAAAATCCCCTCAACTAGTAGTTTAATGTCATCCCTGTGTGTTGCACTTAATTAGGGTACACTGAGGCGTACCTGTTAACTGTTGAGCAGTTCTTTTGAACATATCACTTCTTTTATAATTGCAATTGAAACTATGTCCAGTCAGCTGTGAATTTTGTTCCATTTTGTGGTTGAGTTTTTTTGAGTAATAAAATATTTAACAAATAGATTCTATGTTGCCATGCATCTGTTTAGTATTATGTCACAGATGGCTTTTGTGATCCATCACCATACAGCCCAACTACAACATGGAATCTATTTCTTTTACATAGTGACATCATCTAGGTTTCTTTCCTCCAATAGATCATAAGCAAGAAGCAATCAAAATGCTTGTATAGTTCAGCCCATCAAATTATTGTTTATTTTTCACAGCTATTCCTCCTGTGGTCCCAGAGTTGGCCAGTGATGATGATTACTCGCACTTTGATGACATTCCTGATCCTGATAGTGGAGAAGAGTTCTTTCCAACTCCAAAGGTACTCTTTAGTTTTTGTCAAGTCAGGTGAAATAACAGTATCAGCTTAGCTGTAACACAGTATTGACACTGTTGCAGCCATTCTGTATCCATTTAATTTAGTGCTGTCATTTGGAGCTAGTGTAAGATGTTTCAAGTACTTTTAAATGTTAGGTGTCATTCAGCATGCCAAATGAGCTGGGTTCATGCATTGAAAATTAAAACTTATTGATACAAGACGTTACTTGGCTTGTTCAGTGCAACTCCACGTAGATATAATTGGGTAATACTCTTGTAATTGAGGCATGATAATTAAAACAGTGCTTTCTTGACAAGAGTATCAACAGAAATCAAGACAGAACAGGGTTGTTTTTTCATCAAGTAGCCAGTTAACATTTTGCAGGAGAAGATCAAGTGAAAGAAGTAAATGGCCTTTTTAGTACACTAAATTTTGTCATGTGTGAAATTATTTGGCAGGCGTTTGCTGGGAATCATCTTCCTTTCATAGGATTCAGTTATTCAGAGAGTGTTGAGTAAGTCTGTATAGTCTGTAAAAATCAATTTTCAATTTATGTGGGCAAATGACCCATATATTTTGATTGTGTGTCTGGCTGTTTCACTAGCCTCATGTTCCTGATGTACTTTAGCTAATGCACAGTTCAACAGTGACAGAAGGCTGTAGAAAGAAGTATTGACTCTCACTAATTTATTGCATTTCATATTTATTTAGATGGGGTAACTTTCAAGGCAAAGCAGGTTCAGATGGAATGGTGAGGATGGTAAAAAGACACTCTCTCTTTCCTCTGTCTTCAATTTTTGGTTTCATTTACCATCCTAATATGACAAGATAAAGTAATTTTTTCTTTACTTCCTCAGGATGGAAGTAGTTCTGGTGGCGGGAATGACAGTCGCTCAAAGGTAATTCTCTTTCAAGGCATTTTTTCCTACTTGACATTGACTGAGGCATCACTGTGATACATGCCTGCAAATGCCTGCTGCATCTGCTATGAACTTCTTTTACATTTTAATCTTGCAGCTTGAAGCAGCTAACCGTAGAATCAGAGATTTGGAAGAGCAGGTTTCATTGGAAATGCAAGCTAAAGATGAGCTGGATCATAATTACAGGTCAGAGAACCTTGAGTTACTAACTTACTAACAACAACCACCTAGGACACCTCAGGATCAAGGAAATGTTTACACCTTATTTGTACATCCTTGGTGATCCAAGGGATTTGAAGATGATCATGATCTTTTACATGCAAGTCTGCAAGGTTAAGGACAGTAAGAGATCACATATGTCAACATTTGCATACCATGCTTTGTTAACAAAAGTGGTTGAATGTCAAATGGAGATTGTCAATAATCATCATTTTTTTCCTAGATTGAACAATGAATATTTTGATATTTCAGTAACATTGAAAAAAATGAAGCCAGTGCAATATGTAAGAAACTGAGTAGACAATTTTGTGATACCATTAGCAGTAAGAAGGACTTAGTTTTGTTTACTTTTGTTTTTTTTGCTTTCACAGAGTGGTGAGCACCAAGCTCGATAAAGTCATAAAAGAATTAGACAGTGAGGTGAGGATCTTGACAAACCTTTACTCTCATAAGTGACCAAGTCAGAATTTTTCCTTACAACATCAATACAATATCAAGCAAACAAGTGATGGGTGCAAAGAAAAAATACCAAGTATAGGATTATTAGCTGATCCAATAGTAAGTTCTCAAAACTAAAATCTTAAAAATTGTATGGCAAACAGTAAGGAGAATAACTAATGAGATTGTGGCACTGAAAGTGTTAGCAAAAGAGGACAACTTTACTCTTACTTTTTAGTTTATCGTTCTTCAAATTTTGATTTGTCTGATCCAAATGTCCTGTGTTTCAGTTGGAAGCAAAAAGAAGAGTAGAATCATCAAACAGAGAGCTTGAAAGAAGTGCTGCAATTTTTAAACATGACTTAAAGGAGGTAAGTTTCATTGTGTGTAATTCTTGCAAATTTCACAATATGGTGTCATTGTGTAAATGAGAGTCATCCAACTTTAACATTGGGCTCTGTTACAATCTTTAGGCACAGAGAAGGTCTGAGTTTGAAGCAGAAGCCAAGAGAAAGGTAATTTAACAGGGTTATTGAGCTTGTTACATTGATGTTTATTAAGCTTTCTGTCCTGATTTTCACCACTTCTTCTGAATTTTATCATTTAATACTTTTGAAGCTTGAAGGCAAAGTCCAGGAACTTCAAAGCCGTCTTGATGCAGAGCTTGATGCGCGGGATAGAATTTCCCAGTCATCACAGAGTGTCCAGTCTAAGATAACCCAACAAGAGAAACAAATCCATGAGCTGACAGAACAGCTCAGGGTGGAAACTGATACACACACCAAGAATAAAAAATTATATAGTGATTTACAAAAGGTATGTGTGATACTTAAAGTGCACTTGAGAGGAAATAAATTCAGTATGATAATACAACATGTAGATGTCCTCTTTTCACTTAACTAATTATATAGCTTAGTTACAGCTGTGTTTTCACTATGAAGGAGGTACTGACCAAAGGTTACCCAAACATTTTGCCAGTGCTGACATATATGGGTGTTTCATAATTCATATGAAGGCAGAAAAGAGGACAGATTAAAATACACTGAAGGGGAACTGATTGCCAACTTTTTTGGAATGATAGCAGTCATCTGAATACTCTGAGTCGAAATCAATTTGAATAATCCTTGTGTTGTGGTGAGGGTTGTAAAGAAGCTGAAAGTATGGAAATCTATGTTTTTCAATTTCAACTCCTTCCTCAAAATAATTTTGTGGTCTTGTTCTCTCTCTTGTGCAGTCTTACACAGTGATGGAGAGAACTTATGGAGATTTACAGGACAAGAATAGAATCATAAGTGAACAAAAGGTATTTTATTCTGGTTCTCACACTTAAATTTTGAAATTTAGGCATCCACTTGTTTCTTTAATTTTAGTAAACTTTGAAGTGTTTTGGCATTATTGCAGTTGGTTAAAAATGTTAATGATTATGGGCTTCAGTATAAGTGGGGTACGGGGGTCCACTGCCACCTGTAAGATCCATCACCCCCATCTGTTTAGCCTTAGAGTGGGCTTTTGTCCTGATGGCTCAGCCACCTACTGTACCATCGGCAGCCACGCATGGAAAAAATTATTGAAACCCTTGATGGAACCTGTTTTGTTTTGTCATCTTTAAACAGCTTAGCTTAGAGAGAGAACTCATAAAGGTACAAGGAAATCTTGAAGCAGAGATGAACATGAGAGGCCAAGCAAACAGTGCAAAAGCAGACATTGAAAGTAAGTGGCTGTTGCTATTAGTTTTTGTGGTTGTGTGTTGATAGGCTTATGGTTCCTTCATGGTTGCATTGTCTTAATTCATATCTTTTGACACTATGATCGGATCATTCTGCAAAGAAGTCAGATTGTTGCACAATTATAAGAACTTTCATTTTCAGAAACTAGAAGCTCAAGAACCAAGTCAATAGATAGTATTTCTCCTTCCTTGCAGGCCAGAACAGAGTATTGAAAGAGGAGCTTGACCATTTACGGGCACGATCGGCATCAGATGCCAAATTACAACAAAAGCTTCAACAGGATCTAATTAATCTTGAGAAAGTAAGTGAAGTTTTTCAGTTTACACCTCAATTATTTTGCCACTTGTATAAATTCAACACTGTTAAATTTATGTTAATCTCTTGTTTTTCTAGGCTAAGGCTAACACTGAGTATGAACTGAAGTCCATCCAGAATAAATTCGATAAGATCACTCTAGAATACAAGGTATGAGCTGTCTCATCTTCATGAGATTTTTGGTAAATACTCCTTCTGAATGGATGTCTATTTAACAAAGTATCAATAACAAACTGTACTACATTTAAGAATCAAAAATGCCATGGTGACATACGTGTGAATAAGAGTAACAACATGAGAGATAAAAGTAGGACCAAGCCTTTGGTAAAGCAGCAAGATTCAATCAGCTACCTACACTACAATCTTCAAGACAAATATGTTTAAAGCACTGAGCGCAATCTCTTCCCCCTTTCCCCCTCTTCCTTTATCCTCCCTTCCCCTCCTTCTTTTTCCCTTCTCTCCTTACATTGCTATATCCACAATTAAAGTAATTTTGTATCAGGTAGGGGTTGGGGGGGGGGATATATGGAATTGCTGTTATTCACTGAAAATAGAGTGTCACAATCATTTTGTTGATGATTGTAAGCTGCTGCCCATAGAACATGGCTTGATAATCGTGACTGGCTCTAGCATTCCACAGCAGACATACCCCTACTATTCATACATTGTGTTTTGTGTGAGAAGGGCAGTGGCCAGCACCTAGCTGCTCAGTATTGTTTTCAGAGATTCATTCTCTCACCTACCAGTGTATCAGCCAGGTGAACTACTTTTTTTTCTTCTTGTTTTGCAGCAACAACTTGCTAGTTATCAAACAGAAAAGAACAGATTATCACTAACTTTGGAAGAAAGGACTGAGCAAGAGAGAGCTGAGCAAAGTAAAACGCTGGAAAGACTTGAGCAGGAGCTGGTGATCAGAGAAAAGGCTGAAGCAGCAGCTGCCGAAGCTGAGAGAGAAAGATCAGTTTTAGCTGTAGATCTTAAAGACATGCAACAAAGACTGGAGAGATTAAAACAGGAGTACAATGCTCTTCAGGATAAGGTGAGAAATGAAGGACGACGATGAACAAACATTTTCAGGCATAATCTTACTTAATCTTACTTATTTAAAAGGTTAGTTGTACCTTTCCTTAGGAAGCTTAACTGTGACTAATGTAAAATATTTGTTCACTTTTTTCGCCAGAATAAAAGTCTGAATGCTACTTTAGACACGGAGAACCAACGGCGAACACAACTGGAGAGTGACTTGAAAGTGAATGCTCAGGAAATAGCTGCGCAGAGGGCAACAGAGAAGCAACTTGCTAAGGTTGGTATCCTAACTGGCTTAAATTATATAAGTTTCGCAAAAATCTTTATTAACCAGTAGGAAATGTCTAGTAAAGATACTGCCATTTTGCAGATGAACTCCTTTTGAAAACCTGCTTCGCGCATGAATTATCGGTAATATATGTTTGATTCTTGTACAAGTTGACGACCATATTCCTTGTATTGGTTTTTTCAGCAAGTGGAAGATCTGTTGGAGGAACGGAAACAGTTAGAAGATGCTTGTACAAAACTCAAAAGGTAAAATATTCCACCAAATAACATCTTTCCTGGCCTGCATAGCTGTTGTACAAAAGGAAGGAGAGGCTTGTGTTAGTTTAAATTCCCCTCCATCCCCACCCTCATCTTGTATGCCTACCACTAAGGTGAAATCTTTCCTGACGAGTTCAATCGAGCTGAGTGCTTTTGATGTGGTAAATCTGGCTGAAATGGAGGCACAGTAGAGTCGCTCTTCTAGGAAACGTCTGTTAGAAGACGCCTTCAGTGAAGGGACGCTTTCTAAGGAGACACTTAATAGTTGTGAGGGTGACTGGAGGTTCCCTCTGTATTGGTTCTTCCTTTATTGCATACTAAAGTATGGTAATGTTTAATCAAACCAGCGACCTGAAGGACAGACAGGTCGTAATTATAAACAGGACGGTCCGATTGATCGATTGTTAGAGATGGGAGGCCGCCGTAATATGATAGTTACTCCGATGTACAAAAAGTGAAATAAGCAGCTCACTTCTGTTCTTTTTCTGTCACTTACTCAGTGCAAGTGCTGTGGATGATCTACAAATGAAAGAGCTTCAAGACCAACTAGAGGCAGAAACGTACTTCTCGGTAGGATATAAATTTTGGTATTCATACTTAGCGACTTAAAATAAACCATAGTTTCTCTTGGAAACGTGGCGCCTGTTTCTCAAAACCTGTGAAAACATTACCAGCATGAAACTAAAAATATTAAAAATTTGTATGACGTTCAGTGTACCCAAGGCAGATCGTTATTCAGGTTGTTATTTTTATCATCCAGTCTATTGATTGTATGAAGAATTTTCACTTTCAATTGAATTTTGCCCCTTTCAGACTCTGTACAAAACCCAAGTGAAAGAACTCCGAGAGGAAGTTGACGAAAAAACGAAGCAGATGTTGGATATGAGCAATGAGTTACGTCAGCTGAGTGACGACAGGTCAGGAAAGTGGAGCAAGACGGGGTTGGGAGACCATAAAGTGTATTAGTGATAGCAACTATTTGAACAGGCAAAACTTATATGGGTGCTTATCAGTATTCATAATTAGGTGGTCATATCACTGTGTTCTGAAAGAGAGCTATACTTAAAAAAGATCCCAAAGAGAAGAAGAAACTACTTTTTCTTTCCGTCAGTAATAAACTTTCCGTTTTTGTTTCCGTAAAAATGAAGGAGGACCTCTTCTCACTGAAAATAAAATTTTATGTCTGTAGAGAGTCTCTCTCTGCCCAGTTGGAGTTGACGTTAACCATGGTGGACTCTGAACAGCTGGCGAGGTCCATCGCTGAAGAACAGGTAGGGTGTTTGTGATTGAAGAATTTTCACTTGATTTTTGTCAGAAATCCGGCTGGGAAGGAGACTGTAGTTGTTACATGACTTACTGAGAGACCATAGGGAGTGTAAAGATAGATTTGCAGTTGTTATCAGCAGTGATGTGTTCTTTTGTACGCAGTACTCGGATCTAGAGAAAGAAAAAACGATGATTGAGCTAGAGGTCAAAGAATTGATCGCGAGACACAAGAGCGACATGTCAGAGAAAGGGGCTCAGATCACTCAGCTGGAAGAACTGAACCTGCAACTGACAGGCAACTTGGATCAGAAAATAACTGATAAAGACGAGCTCAATACCAAAATTAAGGCCTTGCAAGAAGGTGAGACGTTTGCAATCCGTTTTGATCTGCTCTATCCTAGGCTACCCCTATGTCGCCTTGTTTTATTATGGCGTTACTCGTGTTGTGCTGTCTTTCTGAACTAATATTTTACATTTCCTATCAAGCTGGAGATAGTTTTGTTTGTGTTAACTCGAAATGAAGTGTCGTGGTTTCGTTAACCCTTCACTCTCAAGATTTAAATATCAATATTCCCCTTTGCCTACAGTAACATTTCTGATATTTTTTGCTTTGATAATTTTTTGGCCAATCAGTGTCCTCTGGGCCACATTTTTCTTTCTTCACATCACTTTCCTCGTGGACAGTGTACTAATGCTTCGAAGAAAAATTAATTACTGCTTGCTCCTGTGAGTGAAAAAGTTAAGCTAAATTCTTCTCACCACATTCGTTTGCAGAGCTGGAAAAATCTAAGGATAACAGCAAAGATATCGAGGACGCCACCAAGGAGTTACGAAAGCAACTGCATATAGAGAAAACTTTGAAGACTCAGGCAGTGAACAAACTTGCGGAGATAATGAACAGGAAAGACCTGATGCAGAACGCGAGTAGGAAGAGAAAAGCTACTTCTGACGACCTGCGGAAGAAGGAGAAAGAATGTAGAAAACTACATCAAGAGCTGGGAGCAGTAAGTACACTAATCAAAGATGGAGCAAAGGCATCCGACTGTTCCGAGTGTAAGCGTCGTAAAACCGAAAACAAAGAAATCACAACAGCCAATAAGAAGAAAGGAAAATACCCTTAGGAACCAATGAGAACTCAACTGAAACCAACTAAACTGCTAAAGCGCGGGAAAACGAGGGCGACCAAGTTGTGATTGGTTTAAGGTTTAGTTCTGATTGGTCTAGAGGGTGGCGCGAATTTTCTGGATCAATCACAGATCGAAGTAAGGCAAAAATAAAGCAATAATGGCTTACTTTCGATACTTAATAGAAAATTTCTTTAACGGTTATCCTGGATTACATAGCTTTCGCTGTGCTTCGTAATATGATTGGTCTCAGGTGGGAAATCTCGCTTGCCTCCAAAACCGATCAGTCGCTAAATTCGCCGTACGCCTTAAGGGTTTCATGAAGTTGAATAATTCTATCCGTTGACAAATCTTGGCCAGAACGCAAACAACACGCGCGAAAGACTAGACTCCAGGTAGGAGAGCTCCCACCGGCCTTTTCGCGTGGCCTTTGGCTCGCGGTTGCCAGTCGGAATCATTTGCACCAGCTTTTTAGACCAGAGCCACTCAGTTGTCCAATCCTTGTTCATGTTAACTTTAATATGTCTTCAGGAACGTGAGAAGTATGGCCAGATGGTGACAAAGTTCCAAGGACAGTTAGCGGAATATCAGATGAATCTTCAGATGGAGACAGAGCAGAGACAGAAAATGCAGGTAAGTGTAACCTGCTTTTGGATATTCCTGACCAGGTACAGTCTTAACAAGCCGAAACAAACCAGTGAGACGTTTTTTATTACCTTGACATTCCTCGGTAAATGGTCTCGACCAGTATATTGCCAGATATGATGAGTAGTTGTCCATTTAATCATGTGTGCTAGGATTTAGTGGGCTTTGCCCCTCACATTTAGCCATCAAGTTCATTTGGATCGAGTACCAACAAAGCTTTAGTTTTACCATTTCGTCTTTTCCAATTTAACCATATCGATAATTCTTCACAAAATCGCTTTTCCGAGCTCCTAATTTTGTAAACGGTAAGATTTTAACGAACGACCGGAAACAAACTTTGCCGACCGTTTACAAAGTGAGGCTCGTTTCCCTTCAAATGGTTAAATTGTCTGAGAAAAATCAAGGAGCATACTAAAGGGAAGTGTTCTGTGGCGGTCTTAAGGGTAATTATTATTTTTTCTGTTTTAAGATGGAGCTGGATTCAAAAGATCTTTCGATCGAAAGACTGAACTCCCAGATTAAACAAAAGGCGCTTAATACAAGCATAACTGATGATGATGCCCTCTCTGTTTCAGGTAACACAATATTCTGCATTAAACATGATGATTTTTTCCCTTGCATTACTGTGATGTCCGTCAGTATTTAGTTCGTTTCTTTTTCACTCTTTTCTTTCCAGTCCATATGCCCAAAGAAGGATGGGTTTCCATTCCAAACAAACAGAATATAAAAAGATATGGTTGGAAAAGACAAGTGAGTACTCATCTTATTACTTCATCTTTCAAGTAGCATTAAATAACGTGGAAAAACAAATTTCCATTTTACAGTTTTTTTGACAGGAGCCGAAAGATGAGTATAACGACAGTAACTGCGCACGTACTCCTCCCCTTATCAAACAACAGTCAACTGATAACAAGTTAGGTTTAATGTTAGGTTAGGGGAGGAGTAGGTGCGCAGTTGGTCAGATTCTTACATCGATCCGATATTTGTACATTCAACACTTAATTCTCAGTACTTTTGAACGAAGAATTGCATGAGAGTTAGATGGCTGATCGTGAACTGGCATCAGAGGAAGAAATAATTGATTCAGCCCCAAGGAGAGTTACTTAAAATGACCGCCAAAAGTTTCATTATCCGAATTTCATTTAAGTTTTCTTGTTGTGATTCATTTGGATGTCTTGTTGTCAATATCATTTTGCCTTTTCTTTTTTTGCTTGATTGTTTTGCAGTATTTAGTCGTTAGCAATCGCAAGATTTTTTTCTATAACTCGGATGCTGATCATAAAAGTAGTTCAACACCCTCCATCATTTTAGAAATCAGGTAAGCTACTTTCCAATAGTGATATCTGTCTGTGTTTAGGTACACTTCCAGTCGCTGTGCTGGAAAAATAAGGCTCAGTCTAAAATAAGCTCACTGTAGTGGAACAAAACTAAATATACCCGGATTTTTTTTAAACACAATCGAAAATTACTCTATCACAAGGAGCTAATGGTGATTCCAAACAAACATTGACCCAGCGTAACTGCTGAAGAAGAGTTGGTACTATACGTGGGCATTATGAGACATAGCCAATCACATTTCAGTGTTATGTACCATGTGATACAAAATCCTTTAACCTGATTGGCTATGACCCATAGTGCCCCTGTATACCACTAGTGTTGTATCTAATTGGTCCAGTGGGTGGCACTGAAGCAAAACCACCTAGTTCGAAATTGCTTTCAATACTCAATCGAAAACCGTTCTTATCCAAGTGTAACACTGTAAATTAAGGAAACCCTATTTTATTTGCTAGAGGGGTTTCTCACAAATGCTTGCGTTTCACTTGACAGTAAATTATTTCACGTGAGATCAGTAACGCAAGGCGATGTCATACGTGCCGATGCCAAAGATATTCCTAGGATATTTCAGGTAAGTGTTGCGTGACCAATGTCACATTGCCTTGTTGTACTTTTTGTCTGAGTGACTAGATAAGTTGCTGTTATTTGTTTCAGCACTAGCCTCCGGCGCCTTTCTTGCTGTGTATGAAGTGTTATATTTTAATGTTCGGGTTTCTTTGTCGTTATTCCTTGACCATTTCGATGTCGAGTTACATGCTTGGAAAATAAGGCGTTTTAAAAACAAAGTAATTTTTAATTTGCAGATTTTATACGCTAATGAGGCCGAGAGCATTAACCCTGTGGAAAAAGACAAAGAGGACCCACAGTCTGAGGTATTCATAGTGGAATTTACACTAAGGGTGTGGTCGTGTTTGCAAGGGGAGGGTGCTCCTCAGGGTGTATGTAACCTTGATAATAAAACAACGTGGAACACCTTTGAATGAAAGGAAGACTCTCGTGTAAGCCCCCTTTCCCTCTCCCCCACCCCTCCCCCTGACTGCTGGAAAATCGTGCCTACTTCTCTGATTATCTCCTTTACCGTTAAAACCCTAGGCCTGTGACTGGTATCTAATTTCTCCTTACAGTATCACCCCTGAATCACACATTAAATTCATGAGAATGAAGGAAATGATACCTAACAAAAAAAGCTTTTGGTCGGTAAACAAATTCTCCTTGTCGGCACCTTAAGAAATGTATGATGAACAGTATAGAGAATATGTATACTGATATTAGGGTGTAAATGGTTAACTCTCGTCTCTACAATGTGTTCCAGTAACATCGTTTGAATGGCACTTTTAAACTAAAAAATTCTTGGAGAGTTCTTTGTTCTTTCCTACATCTCGTAGTCTTGAATTTAAACTCCTCGCTGTCTTTGGTCCAAACTCTTTTTAATATCAGTAATTACGTCAAGGTCATCGCAACGTTTTGTGCTGAAGATTGCTGCAAATGTTTATGATTTTCAGGATCGCATGAATGCCATCGACTACATGAGGCATCAGTTCATACCCATGCACTATCACATGCCTACAAACTGTGACTCTTGCAACAAGCCTCTATGGCACATGTTCAAACCTCCTCCAGCAGTAGAGTGCAGACGTAAGTAAATTAACCCTTTAGCCCCTGATTAGTGACTAGCATCTAAATTCTCCCTACAGTATTAACCATGAATCAAGCATTATTGTCATGAGAATAGAGAGAATGATCGCCAATTAAAAAAATCCCTTGATTGCTCAAGAACTAACCAAGAGTTCCATTTGTTCATTTCTGTTTGTTTTACAGTCCAGTGTAATTACTCTGTTGCGTCTGGATAAATCCCTTGGAACGCGTATTTCGTGGAAGTTTCCTCTTTACAATTCGAGAATGATGAAAAGCACTTATTTCTGTTGTCTAGTTCGCTAATTTTGGTGTGTGTATGTCTTCAGGTTGTCATATGAAGTGTCACAAGGACCATGTCGATAGAGAAGAAGCTTGTATCACCATGTGCAACCGTAAGTAGCCCTATATACTTCTAAAACTTTTTTTAAGTCTTTGTTTTCTTAGAGATTTTACTCTACTTTGATAGGTCAGCATGTTATGAGCGAGTCTTTTTGTTTTAGTTAATATGGATCTGGTCTCAGCCAAGGAACTCTTAGTGCTTGCACAGACTGCGGATGAACAAAAGCAGTGGGTGTTATACCTCAGCAAGAAAATCGTCAGAAAGGAACCGAAAATTAAAAGTCCTTCTGTAAGGTAAGTCAGGTGCTTTTGATTATGTGGTTACTCAGTTTTTAGTATTAATTTTTTTCTTTTTTGAGATTAATACCAGAGAAAGGAGAGATTGGGATAGAGCGCGTACCATGACGAGGCCAAACAACAGCTGCGAAGGAGACTCATTGCCTGACCGAATAGATATCCTTGTAAGGCAAGCCACGCATATATACCTACGCGAAACAGATAAGGTTTACACCAAGCCGTCGGTAGGTGACTTGTGAAGGAAAGAAGGACGAAGAGCGTGAGCAAAATGTTTCGGTTCATCGGTTCTCGTGCGTTCTTCGGGTAGTCAAGACTTGTGTAACACACATGGGTAATAATAGCTGATCCGCATCAATTTTGTTTCTGCTTTTTTCCAAGACTCGGAACCGAAGAGGCCAACATGAGAAGAAACATGGCAGAAAGGAGCGCCGCCTCACGGCCTGGTGGCACCCAACGGTCGGTATCTGTCTCTTCAGGAAACAGGAAGATTACGTGACTCAAACAAAAGCCGGCCAAACCTGATGTGGTGAGATCATGTTGTTTTTTTTCTCTGAGTTAATTGTGTTAGGTATTTTGCCGTGCGACTTTCATTCTTGAATTAGTTAGGCTAGCCTACGCGTAACCGTACCCCCCCCCCCCCCCCCTTGAGGCGGAGGGTACAGCTACACGTAGGCCAGGATTAGGCTGAAAGCAGTATTCATTGAAGCGCAAAGCTAGGTAAACAGAAACGGAGTAGTGAGGAGAAAAGCGAGCAATTTATGCTCAAACAAAACGAAAGAGTCCAACTTGTTGCTGATGTGACTTAGTGATGATCGGCCTAGAGGTCGTAATCGTCTTTCTTAGCTGTTTGTTCAAAGGAGCATGACAAAGATGTTGGTTCACGCACGTATGATCGAAAGAGTCGTTGGTGTGACGAATATCAGAACTGGTTGAGTCCCGCGTAGTGGGCCCAAAAGGGGTGTGGCCCATAGTCAGCCGTAAAAGTTTTTTGTTTATAACATGTGGATATTCTAAGTAATTTGATTGTTATCGCTTTTGAATGAGAATCTGTTTATTTTTTTTTCCCAAACATAGTCAGCCGAGACTGTCGCCATGAGTGAACTAAAAGTAAAGCCAGTGAAGAATAATCGGAATCAGTGTATACTTTAATGAAACATAGAAGTGATATCCAGCGGTCCTCGGCACTTGACATCTTTGGTCTAAACTTCTTTGGTCAAACATTATGAGCGGTCTCCCTGTGGTCCATAGTCGTTAGTCCTGAAAAGCATCAGCGTGCAAGAGCCACAGGAACCCCTGCGCTTTTAAAGGAATACTTTCATCTTTGAAGCTCGTGCTGTCACGCTTGGGTGGATGGAACTCTTCATATCCTCAGCTCAGAGGAGTTAAGCGACATGCGCAAAATGTCCTTCGCCTAGAATTACTACCCTCTTTTCAAAATGAAGAAAATAATTGTACCTTAAAAACAATCCATACCTGTTTTCCACATTGAAGAAAAATATCCCTCGTAACGTAAATTCTCTTTGCGATATTCCACACCATCTACGAGTAGACAGAAGTTCGTTTATAAGATGACACTCAGTACTAAATACTAGGTTCTCAGGACTAGCTAACAGAAATGTAGAGTTTCAGTTTGGAGAATTGACTTGTTGATCTTGGGAGTGTAAGGGTTGAAATCATTGTCAAGACTGATTAAAGCTCTAAATACTATCTCGCAACAAAAGGCATGTCTAATTATTATCCATGCGAGCGAAACTTAATATTTATTTGTCTCAGAAGCTCGACAAGTGTAAGGTCACTTGAAACTATGATTGGTTAAAAGTATGGTAAGTTTGGCGAACACTTCAAAAGTCCAAGGAAAACGACACTAGATTAGTAGAGCTTCAAATAAAGCTGTTGAACCACTTAATATTTTCTACGATAACAAATAATTTTACAAAATCAGGAAGCAAGGCGCGTGTTGTAGACTTAGATTTCGATCTGCGAGTGTCCAGCCCAAAGTTCAACGTTCATCAGAAGTTACTGATTGTTCCTTGTTTTAAACTGTCCGACTTCGTTAGTACTAGTAATTTATTGTTCGGATGGTATGATGTAATCAATTTAATTACTCTGATATGGAACAAATAAATATTTTCTTGTTCTTTGTATGTCATATCAGGGGCTATGAATAGATCACTTAATATTATCTAGTATTTTGGCGCTTGTAAGTTATAAGCTTTTGTTGTTCCTGATTTCTGGCGTTTTTGCCGACAGGATGTAGGAAACGTGAATAAATTTTAGGTTTTTATACAACTCTTGTTTTACTGACTAATTTGTTTCATGCGCTTGATACATTTGTCCGTCTGTTTTTAATGGCATAGTGTTGTTTTTGTACCAGAGAGGACGACTTTTTCCGGAGTAGCATGAGGTTTTTCTGTAGAAGCTTGCTGGACGGTAATTCTCTCTATGTGGGTTAAGAGTTTTTGTATCAGAGAAAAGAAGTCACTTTGCTTGTCTCGCTAAATACACCAGCGACAATTTCCATATGCATACGTAGATATGCAGGTGAAGGCAGCTAAGCGTAACTCAGCGGATATCTCTGGACACTGGAAATTGCCAGAATGAACGAGTTCTTCCCACAAAGGAAAGCGTCGCTTGCACTGAAGGCGTAATGATTGGAGGCTGGGTTTCAGATCCTTCTGGACACCCCCTGAATAAAAATCGCAAAGAGACTGGTTACTAGTATATCTCAAAATGGCGGCAGTTTTGAGTTTGCAAGCTATTTTCGGGCAATGCTTCGGCAGAAATTTCAGCCACAGGAGAAGAGCTGTATTTTCAAGGACCTTTTCTTAATGTTTGTGGTAGCATTGGACATGAAAGTTGACTCAGGAAATAGGAGAACAAAAACAAAGTTAGGAGCGAAATGAGGGGGCTTCGACTTCGGTGGCAAGTCTGACATAATACAGTTCGGTTCGGTTGGTCGTGATGAAACAGGACCAAAGGTAAGATACTAACTTTCTACATCAATTCATTATAGTATGCGAACAAATGGCCACTTTATCCGATTGTGAACGTTGTGGACGTTTTAAATCGAAGTCTGCAGGTTCACTTAGAGACGTGTACAGTTAGATGTGATACATCCTCAATCATTGTAAAGCTGCGGGTTCGTTAGGGTAAGATTCAGTTTCTCTACGTACGAGACACGTGTAGGCAATTTTTTTTCTTCAGCATTTGCAGGGCCAGTCAATGTGTCATACATGCACTCGGAAATAAAGGTGTCGCTCTATTCAAACAACCCTTTAATTATATAGAAAGATCGTTTTTCGTCTTGTCACGAGCGTGGGACAAAGAAAAAATTCTGAGTCCCCATGAGGAATCGAACCTCAGATCTTCGGATTCCTCCGCTCCGATGCTCAACCACTGAGCCACAGAGACTCTCTGGTGAGCGGCGAGGCCCAGTACGAAATTTACTTTCTTTTTCATTCTGTTTACAACCCCCTAGCTGTAACAGATCTGACGAAGGACTAACGCTCGAAATGTCAGCTTTGGAAACTCTTTATAGTGGCCAATTTACATCAGAACTCTGTCGATAGAACCAAATTATCTTGTTATACTCCTTACCGACGCAGCACCGCAGTTTATTTAGGAACTTAGCCCCTTGACTATAAAATTCGGGCTCGCATAACGCATTTTTAAAATAGGATCGAATTTCTGCCAATAGTGTCTCGCCAAAACGTCAGATATCGTCATCAATCATTACACTGATGATTGAAACTAATGAATACCCACGTCCAGTATGAACAGATCCGCAAAAACAGCTCTCTCTTTTCAGTAAGACAGCCACAGCCGGGCCACATACCAAAACTTCCTAGATATCTCAGAGCCTGAAGGCAACAGCTGCGCATCTGCTAAGCTGTGTGCCATCTGAGCTACTTTGAGGGTGCACAGAAGATAGGGCGTACAAAACCAGAATAAAAGCAAACAAAGAATTCACAAAGCATTCTCCTAGTGGTTCATTTGTCTTCCTTCCGTTTTTCATGCGCTTTGCTGCGGCTGTATTCATGTAACTGAGCTGGATGAAGTTTTTCAAAGAAAGTCCTCTCGAGTCAAATTTACACAGGTTGCTCTTACTTATCTCCATCAAGAAAATATAAACTGTTTGTATTCTCTTTTCTCCATTTAACCCTTTGACCGCAGTAACTAGCATCTAATTTTTCCTTAAAGGAAAAATAAAGGAAATGATCACCAACTGACAAAGCTTTTGATTCTTACACAAATACTCCTTGTCAGCACCTTAGTACAGAGGACAGTGTAGACAATATGTATACTGACATTAGGGTATGAGAGGTTAGAGAGGTTGACAGGTGTGCATTTACTCTGTCTATCCACAACGCTGTTTAAACTTACACAAATACTCCTTGTCAGCACCTTAGTACAGAGGACAGTGTAGATAATATGCATACTGACATTAGGGTATGAGAGGTTAGAGAGGTTGACAGGTGTGCATTTACTCTGTCTATCCACAACGCTGTTTAAACTTCTTTCATCAATTTCCAAATGTTGTCCTGTTTTCCGGCTTATAAATCCATGATACTGATAACATTAATGAATCGAAGAAAAATAAATATTCAAATCATATTTATTTCCACAGTATCAAAATACCTGGCCTGCAAGACTTCATTTGTCAATTTTTTTTTCTTTGAAAAAGAAACGGACCGGAAAATTGGAGGAATTTCATCGAATAACAAACATCACAGCTAAATCTTGAGTTCAAGCGTTTGGTTCAACGGGAATCTGCATTTCGAACACATGAAAATCACAAAGTGTGTCGTTGTAATAATTTATCATTGAAATAAAATAATTAGCTTTGTACCTTAGACTGTCTGCTATTCAACCAGTCTTCTATATTCAGACCATCTGATTCAGCCTCCTTACTTAGAGCTAGCCTTGCGCGCTCGATTTATTTCTCATTTGCAATAAGATTTCGAAACAAACAAAAAAACGTTGAACCTTTTTCATATTGGTAAATATTTTGTCAAAGTTCTCATCGCGATTCCTCAAACAACATCAAACAACAGCAGTAGAGAGATCCACAACTTAATCATCGTTTTTATTTGATGGCAGGTTTATTCAAATCAAGTCCATCAGTTATTATCTGCCATCGCCTTTCAGTTTAAATGTCGAAAAATTTATCATTTTGACTTTACGCCGTAAAACTTAATAAAGTGTTAAACTTTCTTGTCGACATTCAGCTGTCAACTTAAGATCTGCGTTTGGTGTTCGTATTGTTGGTCATATTCATGTTAAGTTCTTGACAATGTTGTTATCGAATTAAGTGTAAAGATGAAAATTTTGAAAATTACCTATATTTATCGGCCCAAAATCCGCTGTAGTAGAAAAAGAGGCTTTAGACTTTAAACTTTACCATAAAACGATTATAGAATCCTCGAATAACCTCGATTTTTTTGTCACGTAGCTTCACTTTTTTCTTCCTCATGGAGGGTCAACATTTAACAAATTGCTTCTCTGCTTCGACAATGCCTGTCTTTACTTGTTTCGAAGCGAAAGCACAAAAGTAAACATTCTTCATGTTGTCTAAATTATACCATCGTAGACTTACACTTAAGATCTGTTTGATAATTTTTCAGCCCTACATCAATTACCGAAAATGTTTACGTAGAAATAAAATCCACCAGGTATCGAATAATAAATGATTTCGATTCACCTCAAGGAGTATAACTCTCCAATTTTTTGCCACTTGAGTTGCCCGTAATTATGTTTATCAAATGTCACGGGAAAAGGTTTCTTGCTTCTTAGTTTCCATGAGTTGCAAAATTTTTATGACCATAGTCCCCTGTTGTTTTAAAAATTTGATTAAGTAGTGCTTAATGTTTTCCAAAACCAAAGTAAATTACTTTTCGCAGTTGATTTCATTTAAAACTTCCCTTGAGCTGATCTAAAATTCAAATGTAATATTTTGATTCTATCTTAGAAGAACTGCGCGGAAGTTGTAAAGCGGTAGTTTATCAGAAATTTTGTTTGAAAGACATGATTTTTTTGTTTCGCGTTTGAAAACTCTGGGTTATTCCTCGAAAGGAGAACGTTCTTGAAATATAAGTCATTTAATCAGTTCGAACCACTTTTCGCCGACGACAAGTGTTTTCAACTTGTATATTGTTTGGATATATTAAAAATTCAGTGTGAACAAAATTCACTTAGATCGCTCGATTCTTGGAAATTTTGCGAGCGATTTGAATTCCTTCTATTCCTCATACTTCCATTAACAGATAGTGTTTTAATTCAATGATTTTCGTTGCGAGATTTTGCTCGGAGATAAGAAAAAGTTTTCGTTTTCGTATCAATTAATGTTTAATCCAAAATTAACCCGAGGGTGCTGAGAGGCGCGCTGGGCATCTTGGGAAAGTTTTGTTTCGGAACTTTTTGGCAGTGAATAAGAACAGTAGGTCGCAGAAGTAGTTAAAAAACAACAGGCAAAAACTTCATAGGCGAGAGATCGTCTGCGCGTATATAGTAATCGGACTTCCTTGCCGCCGTAGTCAAAGAAATCTGGGGTCTAGAATTCTTTTTCAGCGCCTGGATTTTCCGGGAGATTTACGCTACCGTAATCAGGTAACATTCCCTTGTTAGCTTGACTTCGTGTGGTGACAAAAAAACTTCTCACGTATGCAAATTAATAGCATGTGAACGAACAAAACGGAGAGTAAAAGCGAAAGGGAATTTCTTTCTTTCCTGGGTGCGATTTGTCTCAGAAAGAGTTGCAGATATCGAAAAGTTTTCCTCAGTAAGGTAACCTGAACTTGTGAGAAATTTATGGATTGTTGTGGTTCTCTTTATCGACTTCGAGCAGTTTTAAATTTATGCTTTCCCCCTGTTGATATATTTAAATAGCTGTAAAACCCATGTAAATGTTTAGATGTTGTTCGCCGATGCACATAATAGTTTCAGCTGCAGGAACGAAGAGGTAAAACTAGTTTCTTTCCGCTCGCGCGGACGAAGTGTCGAGCGAGTTCTGTCAGTTGGAGTAATTTCATCGGAATTAAATATCTGTGTGGAACCTTTGATAAAATTTATCTCACCGGGAGTAGGAATTTTTAATAATTTTTTCGCCCTACTCGGTTGTTCGTCTTTAGGAAGTAGTAAGTTAAATTTCTTCTTGTGCTGGCCTTCTATGTTCGCTTTGTTTGGGAAATCGTGTGTGATGTTAAGCCGAGTCATCAAGTATTTTCTGTCGAGGAAAATTTTGTATTTTGACTTTGTGGATTATGCTTTATTCGGTCGTGCGTAAATATTGT